TCTGCACACAACAAATAAACAATACGCATATAAATTAGGTAGAATCCAATCAAAATCAATCAAATATTGCATATAACATGAACATTTAATGCATGCGATTTCTAACTATCATCTCCGATATACCAAGAGGGGCTTTGGGGCTGGACTCATAGGTGCAAGGTCAATGGAGGTTGAAAGAGTAGATGTATCAATGAGAGAGATAGAAAAGAATGAGATGAAGAAAGAAATGATCCATCATCGTGATTAGTAAAAAAATGGTTGATTTTCCACAAATATCGCATTTCGAGAAACCCGAATACGATGTAAATCAGGATTATAACAAACAAAACCCTTTTGGTGGACTGAATATCTTAGAAAAACACATCTGACTGATTGAGCTGTGAATTTTGTGCGTTTGTGCTTAGGGAAATGAACATAGATGAAAATAGTTTGGAAGACGACCAAATAGCCGAGTGAAAGGAAAAGTATTGGCCAACAAAGGTGAGAGCAACCTATTGATTAGATAGACCACTGTTGAGAGAGCTTCACACCAGAACTTAGTGGGGACAAAACATTCTAGTAAGAGAGTACGGACGAAATCAAGAAGGTGACGGTTGTTCTATTCAGCCACCCCATTTTGTTGAAGTGTTGAAGGACAAGATCTTTGAGAAACTATATTGTTGACTCGCAAAAATTCTTGAAATGGACCAGACATATATTCCCTCATTATCCGATTGAAGTGTTTTGATGTTTGTAGAAATTTCGATTTGGACATACGCATAAAAAAACTTGAAAATGGTAAACACTTCGTTCTTAGAATACATGAAATAAATCCATGTGAATCTACTAAAGTCATCAATGAAATGGGCATGAGAAGGAAAAGGTGCCATATCAAAAAGTTTGGCCCCATTTGGTGTATATGTGGGAAAGGGTAATGTTTTGCTTTTTCCAAGTCAACAAGAATTGCAATCAGATTGGATAGATCGAAGAGATACAAGTTTTTATTCCCAAGTAAACCAGATTTGAACAACGAAAATAGAACCTTATTGTTAGGGTGACCAAGACGGTTATGCCATGTTTGGTGGTCAACATGAGCATAATTACAAGAGACACATGGTGACGAAAAACAAGCAAAAAGACACTTGATAGGAAAGACATGTCCAACTTTAGGCCCCCTCGCAATCATCCTTCCCGACTCTATAGATCCTGCACAACACAATCAGATTTAAAAAATTTCACCTTGTAATTATTGTCAACCAATTGACCAATGAAAATCATATTTGTGGTAAGACCAGGGGAGACAAAGACATTAGTTAAAGGGGAGATATCACCGGTGGATGTAATAGGCAAATGGCTCCCACTAGTGGTTTGAATATCAAGATTTCCACAATATGTTTTTACATGGACAAAAAATGAGACCTAACGAGGTGTTTGGCAAACAGTTTTTTCAAAAGCTTTTAGCTTATTTAAGAGTTTTTAACTATTTGATCGGTCAAAAAGCTAATTTAGGTGTTTGGTAAATTAGCTTTTTGAAAAAGCTTATTGGCCCCAAAAAAACTAATTTCCGAAAAATTATATAATCCAGCGTTTTGAAAGAATTTTTTCATTTTAATTTTCTTTATTCTTTATTTACCGTTAAAATATTATTATTTATTTCGCATACATATAAATATATTTTATACTGCAGTAATTATAAATGATTTTAATATACTATTTATTAAATTATAATTTTATTTTCATAAATTTAAATTAATTAATTTTTATATATAATTAATTTTATTTGTAAACTGTAATTATATTTTTAATATTATTTTATTTTTATATTAAAATTAAATAAAATAGAATAAATTTACTAAAATTATAAATATAATATATTAATCAATAATTAATATAATAAATATATATACCAAAATTTTATTATTTTATATTTTATATCATTCTTAATAAAAAATATTCATATTTCTTAATAAAAATATATGCTATTATTTTACTCAATCTAAAATTAATTAAAAAATATTTTATAACACATTCGTAATTTCAAATAACTAATAATAAAAAATTTAAAATTTTTAAAACTAAAAAACACAATTAAAAAATTTTAAAAGTTAAAATATAAATGTCTTCAATTGTAATTTTACATATAAACAACTAATATCAAACAATTATTTTACCAAACACTTTAATACAAACAGCTAATTGATTGAATCAGCTAAACCCTAATAGCCAACTGAATCAGCTAACAGTTAAAAGCTATCAGCTGATTGCCAAACACACCCTAAATGTCATGTGATTGGAGGCTCCTGAGTCAAAATACCAAGTATGTGATTTAGGAAGAGATTTGCCAGATATTCCCAAGGCTGAAAATGCAGAAACGATAATTTGATGGACCATTTCAGGAGTAACAGATTGAACATGTGATATATTTGCAGAACCATCAGCGCCTAAAAGTACAATTGAGGTTATGTATGCAATCTCAGATCTCCTAAGTGAGCGGATAAGGCATTCCTTAATAATATGACCTTCCTTTTTGCAATAATTAAGCATAATGTCCGTATTCCTTGCAAGAAAAACATTTTGGCTTGTTTTGTGTTGCATAACCCATTGTAACGGATGCAGCCCGTGCTCTGTAAGATGATTTTGAGTGGAGAGGTCCTTACGATGGTTGGAGAGGCGTTGCTCTTCTCGAAGAGGATCATTTAAATAACTATCCAAGGAAGGGACAGGGTCTCGGTTCATAATCCTAGACTTGGTGGCTTCAAATTCACGTCTCAATTTCACAAGAAATTGATCTCTTTTAGTTGTCTCATGAACAATTTGAACAGAAATGAGACCTTCCGGAGGTAGGCTAGCATAGACAATATCAATGTACTAAGCCAACAAATTCATGAAACATGAGTAAAATTCGGAGATGGAGAAACTATCCTGATGAAGTTTCCCTATGTCGTGTTCCAGTTGGAATCGACGAGCAGTATTATGCTGACTGTAAATCCTCTTAAGATAAGCCCAAATTGAGGGTTATCTACATGGCCCCATAGATCCTTTGTCTGGAGCAGAAGTTGTGCCATCAACATGGCCCCATAAATCCTTACTCTTGACGAAAGTATGGAAATTGAATGCCAACGTTGAATAATTTTTGCCATTAAGGCAAACAAGAGGAGTATCATAGTTTTCTGAAGACATGATTTCGAGGAATTGGACAAGAGAATACGGAAACAAGAAAAGATTGACTCAGAACAAGTATTTAGATCAGAGTTGGCTCTGATATCATGACAAACTTTGAGGGTGATTTCTAAACGATCAGGAAAATTATGTTTTTATGTGTATTCACCTCCTAACAACTACACAATATATAGGTATTACAAGCTAATTTTCAGCAATTAATTAAAACTAATTACATATGTGAATCCTCTCATTCTACCCTAATCTTGGTAAGTAAATATCTAAATTACATATATGAATCCTCTAATTCTACCCTAATCTTGGTGAGTAAATATCTACAATTGTAGAAAGTAAATAACGATAAAATCCATAACTGTAAATTACAGCTTAACAGTCATAACCGGAGATGATATAGATGACATCACACAGTTGAAGGAGCACCTGCACAACCATTTTCAAACTAATGATTTGGGACCACAACCACAATAGGGATTGAGGTTGCCTATCAAAGAAGGTGTTATTCTATCATAGAAAAAGTACGTACTCAAATGTTGGAAGATTTATAAACTAGTTAGAAAGCTTAATTATCTATCACCTGACCATATATATCATTTGGTTAGTGTGGTGAGTTAGTTCTCTCAGTCTCCAGCACTTATATGCATGCAGTACAAAAAGAGGTCCCAGGAAAGGTACTAACACAAATCAAGGTCATTCTGAAATTGTTGGATATTCATATGTTGATTGTTCAGGATCTCTAGTTGATAGGCGTCACCTCAGGCTATTGTGTGTTTGTTGAAGATAATCTAATATCTTGAAGAGTACGAAACAAGATGTCGTTTCTAGTTCTAGTCCGAAGCTCAATATTATGTCATGGCCTTAGCTATATGTGAGTTTATATAAGTGAAACAATTACTTTTTGAACTCAAATTTTATAGGGTTAGTGTCGGAGTTTAATTATGATATTAATTGAGTATTATTTTCTATTAATTTGTGATTGAATAATGAAGTAGTAAATTAATAATATATGGTGTTTATCCATTATATATATATTCTAATAGTTTTGTATATAATAATCATTACGAAAAAAAAAAAAAGAAAAGATATTTTTCTTATCAATTCCTCTACATTCTTATTTATTTTATTTTATTTTTTCTATTAGTTTCAAAGATGAAGTTGATCAGTGATAAATTGATAATCAGTCAGCACTCCACATTGCCTGAAATCCGGTATTTCATGAGCGAACGAAGCATATTGAAATAGATTGTTATTTATTAGGTAGAGTATTATTTGGGTGCATAGGTACCAAATGTGTCTTCAAATGATTAACTTATAGACATATAACGAAAGCCTTAGGGTGTGTTTGTTTAGTGAAATTGTTTGAAAAGATATTTTTCTACGTGAGGTATAGAGAATTGTATAAGTAATATAAAAATAATGAGTGTGTGTAATATATTAATTTTGGGGGCGAAATGTGTTTTTTGGAATTGGTGGAAGAACAGATTAAAGGTTCTAGATCTGAGTTCATATGTGACAAGTTTGGATCGTATGATTTGTCCGCTCTAACTTGATAGGAAGAATGAGATTAGGCCAATTACTTATTATTAGTTTACGCATGTTTAGACTATGTATATTTATTCGTTGTGTTGTGTAGCTCTATAATATATTGGGAATAAAATAAACATTTACAATTGTCAATTGGAATTGTAACTAAGTTATCTTCAGCTTGTTTATTTCTTCCTCCTGGCTGTAAATTTGTGTGCAATTTACCATTGAACTTGAGCAACATAATGATATTTGGATTTATTGTTCCCAAGTTCTGTTTAAGCTTTTACCTTTTCTCTTTTTCTGGTGCTATGTCTCAGGAGAAGGTACTGGCTTGCTTCGTCTCCATAGTACATATCGGCATGACTTGAAAATATACAGCTCAGATGAAGGCCGTGTGCAGGTTAAGATTCTGAAGTTTAGTTGATTCATTTAATGAAGCCAAGTGCTCTATTCCATTTATGTATGCAGTTGGTTCCTTAATATATTTGTAGAAAGTAGTGTAATTTACTACTTCTCTTTGACCTTTACTCATTTCATTCTGGCTGTCCAGCAATCTTCATTTGCTGTAAATGTAATAAAGTGTTTGCTTCAGATATTTGTTTACTGTTGGCAGATGTCAGCGGCAGCTTTTGCCAAAGGACTCCTTGACTTGGAAGGAGAATTAACACCTATTTTGGTTGGTACTTTCATATATTTTGATATTCATATATATATATATATCTATCTTCAGGTGGATGAGTTCACTGTCATCATCTTTTATTTTTGCTAAGGTTTCACTTGTCAGCAAGGACTCCTCAATGTTGGATGGACTTGAAAATGCCAGTATTGAGATAAAAGAAGCTAAGGTTTGTGTTGTGAGCAACATTTTAACAGTTATTCAGTCCTAATTGTCTGTCTTGATATCATAGATAAGAACTGCATCTTTAACCTTGGAATATGTCTAATGAAGATGTCAAGAATCATAGAATTCCATTATCCAGACATTATCATTGAGTCCTCTTCTTTCCATGCTTCAAACCTTGTCGTTCTTGTATCTAGTGTTGATTCCAATAGATGGCCTACTTTTCTTTTCCTTCCAAAAAGCTCTAACCAATTGAGACCACTTCAAATAATTTTTTCCATTCAATCTTATATGCTGCCTGGATCTTTTGAAGTTCTAATTATCTAATGTGCTCTGTGTGATTTGTTCTTCTTCCACCGTTGAAGAAAAATGCTGCATTGAAGATGTAACATCCACCATAATTGATGGGGTCAAGTAATTGAACAAAAAAAAAAAATGTATAGTAAAAGAAACAATAGTGAAGGCTAGAGTGAATAAGAAAGGAACCAACCATTAAGGCTGGAATTCAAGAAGCAACAGTGGTAATTTTTCAGGAACCGTAACAAGCTTTAATACCATGTTGAAAAAGAATATGAGGAATTGCATAATTCTATTCCTTTTCCTGCAATGCATTCTAATCAATTTGTACAAGTTCCTGTTACACTAGTCCTGATATTACTCCACTAAATCACTATTGTACCCTGATTACCTCCACTAATTTATCTAAACTATCTCTCATTCAAGATTTCCTACATATTGTCCTTGTGATTTATGTTGATTATCAAACAATCCAAGTGCCTCTTGTAATTTGATTTTATTTTCCTTACAATTTTTGTTTAAAGGATATGGCAAAGTTACAGTTTTAGATCTAAGCATGACTTTTGGAAAAATCAGTTCGTGAAAATTTACAGAATTGGGCTATTTTTCTTTTCATTACTGGTGTCCTCCAAAATTTTTATCAGGTAAAGCTAAATGAGATAATAACATCTGGGGCAAAAGCTGACCAAAACAGTAAGGCACCTGAGAAACCTTGGATGGTTGATGGTGCAGGAGTTACTTCAAATGCCTCTGAGCTTTTACCCAAATTGGTAAATATTCCTAACATGCTGTGCAAGTCATCAATGCTACCACTCCTTTATCTATATCACTTCCTAGTAATACATGTTCTTTACATATTGCTGATAGAGTTGCTTCGCCGAAGAGAGAGTTACATTAACGATTATCTCTGAGTTTTTATGTGTTCTTGTGAATGATATTTAGTTTGAATTAACAAAGAAAGTTACCGAACAAGTACGACTTCTAGCCAAGGATGAAGATGAGGAGCTTGCAGAGAGGAGTTCATTTGATGTAGTTACTCCATATGATCAAGCTAAGGCTCTTGGCAAGACAAATATAGACGCGAACCAGATTGCTGCAGGTTTACCTTGTGGTAATGAGGGATTTTTACTCATGTTTGCTCGCTGGAGAAAACTTGAGAGGGATTTGTACAATGAACGAAAAGGGTAACTATTTTAAAATAAATTTGTCCACTATTTTGCTTTTATTCATCTACCACCAGAAAAAGTAATCTGCAACCAGATTACTGCTATAGAAAGTTTAGCCAACAAACTGCACATATTGCAGGAGGTATGATATAACACAAATCCCTGATGTTTATGACTCCTGCAAGTAAGTATTTTTAGTATTTAAATTACTTATTTGGATAAGTTTATTATATCTCTTCTTGTATTCACATGGAATATTGGTTTCAATTGCACTTGTGGCATGCATTAAATATTTAATCATAGTCAAGTGTGGAGTCCTAGACTTTGGACAAGCGAAGAGAACATTGGGTTGCGCAGGGGGCAATTCATTTGAAGTTTCAACTCTGTTGGTGTAGTACTTAAACAATATTTCAGAGTGGAACCATGAGACATAAAATGAATATGTTTGGAATCTGAATGTAAAGTGAAGGTGTTCAGAAGATGGATTAACTCTGTGCTAAAATCATGCTTCTATCCCATCATGCCTTCCCTCTTAACAGATACGATCTCTTGCACAATGCACATTTAAATCTTGAAGGATTGGATGAACTATTCAAAGTTGCACAGGTATGATCATTGGCAAATCTTAAGATACTTGCAATCTCTTATCAAGTAAAAATGAAGCAGGTTCAGTGTTAGATAGTTCTGATGACTAATATCACATCATTTGTTCCTTCTGTTATAGTTACTTGCAGACGGTGTTATTCCAAACGAGTACGGTATCAATCCTAGGCAAAAACTAGCGATTGGATCAAAGGTAGTTTCCGTTCTAAACTTTATGTACATCATCCCACTATTTCAGTTTGCTTAAAACTCATTGTTTCACCAAATTTATTGTAGTTAAGATCAATTGGGAAGTTAAATAAATGTCTAAAAGTATTTATCATGTGGCTTTGCATCTTGTTCTGCGCTGATTTATAAATTATGCATTGTCAGTAGATTATTTTAAATGTTCTCTATAAAATAATAGCATGTCCTAGCCTTGCAAAACTTTTAGATTGCTCGCCGCTTGTTGGGGAAGATCTTGATTGATCTGAGAAATACACGCGAAGAAGCAATCAATGTTGCAGAACTCAAGACTAATCAGAGCAGCAATTCAGTAGTCTCTAGTCATGGTAAAGACGATGCAAATCAACACTACAAAGCTCACAGCAAAATTGACAACACAAGAAGAGCTAGCTTTACCAGTGACAAGTCTATGGATCAAGAGGATGATGATGACGGAGAAATAAAATATCGACTGGACCCAAAGTAAATATTACTAATTATGTACACAGACACACACACAGACATAATCATCATTATTTTAAGTCAAAGCATATCCAACGCTCGATTAAATTCTTGAAAATAGTTTTTATCAATTATATTCACATCCTTTCTTTCTTCATCAGATATGCAAATGTGAAAACCCCGAGGCGTCATGTGCGAACCCGGCTATATTTCACATCCGTGAGTTTTATTGTTTCATGACTTGATTACTCCTTTGTTTTCCTACAATTGCTTGTCTCTAGAACCTGTCTTGAAATGACTCATGGTACATTGCTTATGTAGCTATATCTGTGTACTTTTTCACTGCGAGCAATTCATGCACTCTGGTTACATTTATAGGCTTGCAGCATGATATGTTTAGAAGCTGAATTGACGCAATTTTGTACAATGAAATGCAAATGTTGAGATATCTGCTGATCATTTGGCCTTGTTAATACCTTCATCATTTAGATGTTGATGGAAAGGAATATAGAATGCTCATATTTGGAGATTGGAGATCGTAGTGCTTTCCATTGTTATGGTTTCCTTAAAAATCTTACCATGTCCCTATTTTCCTTGAAGTTAAACTCAATTAATTGGAAACTTTATTAGACAGCCTATTCGGTCATTAAAAACAGAAGTAGTTTACTGAGATATAACAACATTTATATATTAGAGTGAGATCTGGAAAATAGATATGCTAGGCCTTCATGGTTGATAGTTCCATTAATTAGAGTAGCATCTTCCAAGATATTTGTGGATATGTGTCGTAACCTGTAATCTGTCATATCAGAGAAATATTGGTTTTCCCTTCAAGAATTCTGGTTCAATTAATTCTAAATATGAACAAACTCATAAAAATGCTACTGGAATTTTGCCTTTCATATATTCTTGGCTTTCTGTCAAGCCAGAATACTTTAGACTTAACTCAGATTACACAAAGGTAGGATATATAATCCAGGTGTGAAAAAGTATTTCTACTTTTATCCATTGCCTCTTCGAAATAAACTGATCATATTTCATTATGAATTTGCAGGAATCCCATATCCACTCACTGATGAATGTACTTCGTTATTGCAATCTAGATGAAAGTCTTCAAGGAGAACCAAGCCTCTTTAAAAATATTGCTTTGGAGCGCTTGTATAGGACAAAGGAGCTCGACTACATGAGTTACATCGTACTGAGATTGTTTGAAAACACAGAGGTCAGAGTTTGTTTATTAATTTATTTTAACCATTTCTATCAGTTTTGGAATAAATTAGTAGTTTGCATGGGAGAACTTCGCCATTTCCATTCAAAAGAACAAACCTCGAAGAATACTGCATTCTGTTTCATTTTGGTGTATTTTTATCTGCCCTGATTGGAATCAAACACTCATAAGCCAATTTTTCTACTCTTAGGGCAATAGTGAACTCCGTAATGGATATCATTTAGCTGCATTCTTCTGACATTGAATAGCAGATAATGTGTAGTCAACATGGTTGTATAGAAAATAGTTCAGTTGGTTGAATTCAACTCAACTCCCATTGTTCTATGTCTTGGCATTGGTGGTGGTCTCTTCCCAAGTCTTGCTCATTCTCTAAAATGATTGTATCGGTAGAGAGACTTTGTTAGGACACTTGCTGGTTCTTGGTTGATGTAGGGAAATCTGGTAACATCTTATCAGATTTGTGTTCCCAATTTCTTGGTTGATGTAGGGAAATCTGGTAACATCTTATCAGATTTGTGTTCCCAATTATAAATCCTTCATCTCTTTTTTTCTTTTATAGTTTGCACCATTCATACTATTTTTCGGCGTTCCCTTTTATAATGAATTCCTTATTATGTGTGGTATTCTTCACCTTAATCTCAACCTTTGAGCCTCTAACCATCCTACCAAGACCTTCTGGTACCAAATCCATCAATTCTGTGGGTTTTCTGATGTCCATATTTGACTTCCGCAAACACAAAAACTACATAGGTCTCTTCAGAGGGTCCAACTACAATCAGACTTTATCTGTGAGCTTATCAGGGAGTCTAACCAAGATTTTTCGTATGCAGTTGGACTCTAGCCAAATTTATTCTTCATTCCGTTGTAGCAAAGATAGATTGAACAATGAAATCATCTTTTGCCCGATCAAATTCCAAGCTTTTGAGCTTGTGGGCCTTTTTTTCTCTCAATTACAAACTCTTCTCTATTATAGTTTTGAGTTTTGACATGAACATAATTTCTTGATGTTGTCCTTTTCAACGAAAGCACAAAATAAGTGATGGTTAGTTAATAGTTCGAATCAAATGCAGGTGGCTTTAGAAGATCCAAAGAGATTCCGTTTGGAGATGACTTTTAGCAGAGGCGCAGATTTATCCCCTCTGGAGGTAACTTCCAAATAAAACATTGATCATAGCAATTTTCAATTGACATAGCTTTTCGGTTTAAATCATCCGAGCGCATAATATAGTTAATATATTATTCTCACCTCCTGCAGAAGAGAAACGACAGCGAGGCAGCTTCATTCCACCAGGAGCATACATTGCCAATAATGGGCCCCGAGAGACTACAGGAAGTAGGATCTTGTTTAACACTAGAGATGATGGAGAAGATGATCCGGCCATTCGCAATGCCAGCTGAAGACTTTCCACCATCGATCCCTCATGGATTCTCGGGCTACTTCTCCAAAAGCGCAGCAGTTCTCGAACGCCTGGCCAATCTCTGGCCCTTCCACAAGCATGGGAACAATACAAACAATGGTACAATTTCTAGACATTTCTTTATAAGAACGACTTAGTTAGCATACATATCAGAGTGTACTAATATGCTTCGATTGCTAATGAGCTGTTGAAGGTAACAAAGTCGAGAAACCGAAGGAGCATCGGCAACCATTGCAGGAATATTACTAATATGAAGCTGAAAAAGCCTTTGAACACTGCTGGCCCCTTCCATAATTGTTCTTTCCAGGTTTGCATATGCATTTTAATTTAAATGACTTGCGAATTTGGTGATCCTTACTATATTAATGTCTTCCATTTACTTTTATCAGGTTTTTATGTTAAAACAAAGAGTGTGTTGCCCGTGTCATTTCGGTTTTGGTTTTATTATTTTTTTTTAAAAAAAATTCTTTCAAAAAAATCAAATCAAATATTTATTTTTTATTTATTATAATACAGTTCGAAATATTACGTTAATACATATTTATATCTGTTCAAAACCAAAACCAAAATCCACGAATAAACACACCTCCTACCTCCTAAGTGATTTCAGAACTTAACGATGAATAACTATGGGGTGGTGCTGAAGTTTTATGAGAGGAAAATAGTTCTGTAATGGTCTTTATAAAGGATGATAATTGTGAGGTTCGAAAAATCCTTCAAAGTATTAGGGTGTAATTTTTTTTCTTTTTTTTTTTATCTATTAAAAAAAAATCCATCAGATTTTCAAATTTACAATGAGTCCGGATAGACTTGATACTTAATATCGGTTTGTATAATAGTAATAATTAAAATAGTTTAAAATATAATTTTTTTTTTAATTATTATTTTTATATATTATATTAAAATTTAAATTGAAAAAGATAATTGAGATACCAAATCAAAAATTTATAAAATTTTTAAATTATTATTAGATAATTTATTTTTTAATATAATTTATAAAGTTTTAACACAAATTACAAAAGCATTAGTAATAAAATACTTTCTTTGATAATGCCTTTCTTTTTTTGATGTGTTGAAAATATTTTAAATTTTATTTCACCCAAATAAATTTTACTTAAAGAACAAGCCCTAAACCATTTTCTAACTCATAAATTTTATTTATATCGTTTTAATCCAGAAAATCCAATTGCTACGGTATTTTTACTTATATTATAATTTTATTTTTCGCTAATATTCTTCAAATATTTTATTTTACATATTATTTTAAACAATTTTTTTATGATTTACAATAATTTTTAAAAAAATTTAGAAATATATAAAATTAATGTAAAAATTAAAATTTAAAAAAAAAAAATAGAGAGAGCACCATTTTTGCACAGTAACAACACAAAAAAATAGCTTTAGAACTGACCTTGGATAACTAAGTCACATAATATGATTCTATGTGTTTGTTTGGAGGTTTGAATTTTGAGTTGGGATTTGAATAGTAAAAATTTTGAATTTGAATAGTTATATGATGTGATATAAATAGGTGTTGATGTGATGTTTTGAATGTAAAATTGATTTTTAGTATAATATAAAAAATGAAAAATAGGTGTTTAATTTGATATTTTTGGAGGGAAAAAATAGGATGAACAGAGGAAATATAATTCAATCCCCCAAACAAACACACCCTAATGTAATCATATACTTATTTACTATGCATTATTAGAATCCGACATAAAATAAAGTCTATAATATGTAGTAGTATTATTACTTTCAATAATATTAATTTTGAAAAGCAAACTTACATATATTCAATGACTATAATAATTTGATTAAAAGTAAAAAATTGTTTTGATAATACAAAAGTAATAAATGTAAAGTATATAAAATTGTGTAGATAATACAAAAAGTAACGAGTGCATATAATATTTTTTTGAAAAAAATATTTTTAAACCTAATTTCATCTATTTCTTTTGAATTGTTATATATTTAAATTTTGTTACTAAAAAATAGCATTGAATATGGTAGTTTTCATGAAAACACACGTCATATTATTGGCAAAAAAAAATAGGAGAAAGGTATGCAAGTCTTGCTATGTAACAATTATTATCAATCAAAATCTTAGTATTCAAACTTCAAAACCTACAATCAATTTTTCAATATTTATATTCAAAACAACTATTTCAAATTATAATTTTAGTATTCAAAACCTAAAGCCCAACTTCAAAATCTTACAAAAAAAAAAGAAATAAAACACCACCCAAATTCCACCTAGACTTCAAATATGGAAAAACACAGATTGATCATATTTATTCCCTATGTTGGAGCATAAAGAGAATAACAATGGAAGCAGAGCTGGCAAAAACTGACTCGACACGACAATTCGACACGATCCGACAAAAAATAATTGAATTTGGGTCAAATATTTCAACCCAATTATGTATACATGTTGACACGAACCCGACATGATAATAAACGGGTCGGGTTAGGGTTGAGACTCTCAACTCGAATCCGACACGACAACCCGATTATAATATATTAATATTGATTAATATATTTATTATACATATAAAATAATCATAATTTAATAATTTTTTCATAAATTAATTTAAACTAAATTCAATTTTAAATAATTCAACCTGATTTATACTCAAATCAATAAAAACTAATATAACACGACAACAAAACAAAAAATTATTTAATTTGAATCAAGAAATTAGACGTAATTATGTATACGGATCAACACTAGTCAACCCGAACCCGACACGATGATAAACGAGTTAACACGAACCCGATATGATAATAAACGGGTCGAGTTAGAGTTGAGTAATTTAACCCGTTTAAAATAGTCAACCCGACACGAATCGACCCATTGCCGGCTCTAATCTTGAGATGTTAGTTAGTTAGTTCAACAAGTGAATTAAATCCAAATATATTCCTACAAGAAATGAGAAAACATGCTACTGAGTGCTGAGGAAGATAGATAGTAAATTAGTAATTGACTGAAACCAAGTAGTAATTGGTAAATATTACTACATATATATTTGAGCAATAAACGAGAAAATTTCTATGATCAAAATTGGCAAGAGTTACCTTAAAAAACCTACCACGGATGAATGGTTCTAGGCTGACCAAAATCGAATGGCTTATAAAGGATACGAAGAATAATGGTGTCCAAAATGAGGAATAACAACCTTACCAACCGAGAAGTAAAAGCTTCAAGAGAGCCATCCGGACATAGAGGCCGTTCTTGGCTTGTCTGAAATAAGCAGCCCTTGGATCAAGATCAACCTCCACGGTTATCTGAAATTGAATGAAAGAAATCCGAGCATATAATTCATTATATGAAGATGGGACTGAAATGCAAACTTCGAATGTAAGGATATACATGTATAAGTGGATATCGAAAGGCTAACCTCATCAAGCCTGGGTAGAGGATGCATCACAATTGCGTGTTTCTGCATCACATTCAGCACATCCTTATTCACAATGTATTTGCCCCGGGCTGTTTCGTATAGATCGTCTCTCCCCTCAAATCTTTCTCGTTGGATACGAGTTTGATACACCATGTCACATTTCGATGCCACCTCCATTAAATCAGCGCTTTCTTCCCATTTGACTCCCTTGGATGTTAGGTAATCTTTTATATCATCCTGAAATTGAAAAAAAGTGTAAATTTAAAGGAAAATAAAAAGGTCGTAATTTCTCATTTCACACTGATTAGTCGGGATCAATGTTGCTTCTCTTACCTTCATTCTTACGACTTCAGGTGACACGAAATAGATCTTAACATCCTCGTACTTCGCGAGCAAATAGGCAAGCGAGCGAACTGTCCTACCGTGAGCAAGATCACCAACAAGCCCGACTTTTATACCATCAAGTTTTCCAATCTCTCTTTGAATAGTATAAACATCCAGAAGGGCCTGCTCGTTACCAAAGAATATTTAACTTCGAGATAACATAATCAAGCCACTTTCTATGGTATATAAAAACTTCTAATAAATCATTATCAGTCGAAAAACACCGATTTCATCCACCGACTCACAATTTGAAATGCACAAACATAAGGAATGAATTATAACTGATACCTGAGTCGGATGCTGTCCGGGGCCATCTCCAGCATTGATAACAGGAATTCCAGCTGTCAATGCCGCCCTTTTGGCAGCCCCACTTTCGAAATGTCTTAGTACTATTATGTCTGAGTACCCCTCGACTGTCCTAATGGTATCTGTAAATCAATATAGATGTTAGTTAAGCACGTTACAACAAACAACTCTATTTCAATTCTAATAGCCTAACCATAATGACATTAATCGTAGTTACATTCGGATGTAGTTTAGCTCATCTCGATTATTAAATCAAATGAGAATCGAAGGCATGGATAAAAATAAAAAGTAAATATACTAAAAAACCATACCTTCAAGAGTCTCCCCTTTTGCTGCTGACGAGAACTCCCGTGCATTTTCTGTAGTCAAGACTTCCCCACCTAAACGTTTCATAGCAGACTCGAATGAAAGCCGAGTTCTGGTTGAGGGCTCATAGAATAGTGTGGCCATCAGATATCCGTGAAGAAGTTGGCTTCTGACGGGGCTCTTCTCGATCATTTCCATATCAAGTGCTACATCGAATATGGCACTTAGGGTTTCTCGGTCGAATTGTTGAGCTTCAATAATGTCTGTCAGATGAAACTTGCTCCCAGTTGAAAACAAAGGTTTTGTCTCAACCTTCAACGCTTTGCTCGGGAAGCCATCGCTCATCATGTACAATTTTCCTTCTCTCCATCTCTTATTTACAGATGGCTTGAAAATTCCATTCCCATAATTGCAAATCATCGAAGAATTGCTTTTAGAAGCATAGGAGCAATGTGTGTTCCCATTCAAGGACCATCCCGAAAAAGTAGAAGACAATGCCATAAGAACAAACACAACCTGATCAAAAGAAAAAATAAAATTGGGTGCTATCAGGAAAAATAACTCAATGGGATGTAAAGATTAAAATAGGTCACAGGCTCGGATAGTCATTTTTCTAGCAAAAACTCAATTGAAATCTGATATAACTTTCATGCAAAGTTCACAAATTAGCATCCTATTTTTATCTCATACACACAAACACATATATATTCAAAATTCAATAAACACATAATCATGCTTCAAAGATACTTTAGAAACTTTTGGCACTGTTCATCACAATTAGCGTCTTCAAAACAATCACATCAAACAGTTTTTTTATCTAAGAAAACATAACATCAAATACTTTTGTACACTAATTTTTTCTAAAAATATCACATGTAGCACAAAACACCACGTCAAACATTCAAAAGTTTCAAAACTTCTATCTAAATGGAAACTGAGATTGTCATGAAACTTAATCATTAGATACAACATCTCAAATGTGCATATCACCAGTGTCTGTAAGGAAACCAAATACAAAAGGAAAATGTATATATGTATATATATATAATTCACTACTAAGACTCCTCGCATAATCTTCTCTAAGTTTCAAATCAAAGCACGTTACTAATTAGAATCATCCAAAATCATTCGAGAAACAAAAAAAGTGAAACCACAAATCCCAAAAAGAACGTACAAAGCCAATAATAAAATTAAACCAATAGACTTCAATCCTTCGAGCCAATCTAAAATCAATGCAATTAAATGTAACCAACACCAATCAATGTAAACCTAGCAACCGCCATTGAAAATATGATAACAGCAAATAAATCATTCAAGAATCGAACTTACGAAGAAGAAAACTATAAGACGACGAGGATGGTGCCCTGCCTCGGAGGACGATGTAGAACCGAGGAAGGCGGCAGGGCAGAGAAAGACGAAGATGATTTGGTTGGGATGGAATGAAATGGAATGGAATTTCGGCACTTTTGGAAGTGACGATCGGAACTTGCAGCTCACCCGCCCGGTTACAAACCGAACCGCCCCGAAACAGGACCGAACCCGAGTTTTTAACGGTTCGGTTCCAGCTCCTGTGAAACCGCCGGTTCTAAAATCTGAACAGCGTCTGGCGATGATGATGGTGTGAAACAGAATGGGTGAGTGGCGGCGGCGCCTGTAGTAGATTTATGTTTTATTTGGTAAAAAAAAAAATGAGACCAGATAAATAAAAATGATATCATTTCTCTTATTTGTTTGAGTTAGAGAAATAGAATTTGAAAAATAAATTATTTCTATTTTTTTGTTTTTATTTTTCTCCCATATGCAGAGAAATGATGTTGCAATATATGTTTTTTTTCATTTTTAAAATTTTTTTGTACTATTTAATTTTTATAATTTTTTTAAAATTATATTATTTTAATTTTACAAAAAACAAACTTAATTTTTTTTAAAGTATTTAATTTTTACGATATTGTACTAAAATATAATCTTAAAAAATATCGTATATAATTTATAATTTTTTTAAAAAAAAAATTACCAAAAATATTTTTCATGAATTCTCAATTGTTAAAACTCTCTTTTTATCGGGTTAATCATTTATTTTTGTTTGATCATTCATATATATATATCTGTATTTTTTTTTTAAATTTCTCAAATGAATTCTCTATTTTATCAAACAAGAGAATTGATTATCATTCTCTAATGAATTCTATTTCTCTCCAATTCTATTCTCTACTATTATTTCTCTACAATTTCATTCTCTATGCCAAACGTCCCACTAATAGGCTAGTAGGGTACAAAAACATAAATATTAAATTGTTTTTAATGAATTATTAATCTTTTTATAAATATTAGTACTATTAATATTAAAAATAAAGGTTATTAAAGAATTTTTAAAAAATACTATATATTATATAAATGATATAAATAGTAAATAATTAATAATGAATTAATGAAAATAATTAATTAGTTTAATTAAAATTTTAAAAATTATAAATAATTTTATTAAAATAAGATTAAAAGAATAAAAGTGACAAAATAAACGGGAGACACAGAAATAGAAAAGTGAACATAATAAGTAGGACGGAGAGAATATATTATTAAGATTTTGTTTATACAATAATAAACATTATTCAATTTTAAAACAATATCATATAAAATATATAATATAAGAGAATAACCACAAGTCCAATCTTTTGAATTTTTATTTATTTATTTATTTATTTTGTTAATTGACAAATTCATTTATCATCGTCTTTGAGAGCAGCAACAATAACTCACTCACGGTTCAAATCACTCACGGTTTGATGAACACATCATTTTTTCAAATTTTTTTTTTATTTTTCTTGCTTCGGCTTTTGCAAATGCTCTAACGCCATTTCCAACTCATCATCTCTATTTATTTATCCTGTTTTAACTCCAAATATACAGTTGCGTAATTTTACTCTGAATTATTTTACTATTATTCTTCAAATATTCAATTTAAAAATATTCAATTTTTCCTATTATTTTAAATAACTTTTTATTTTTATAATTTAAAATAAAATATAAAAAAATTTAAAAATTAAAAATTTAATTTATAATTTAAAAAAAAAATTAAAAAAAAAATAGGATGGTGTTACACTGTAGCAAACTCTAAATTTCTGGGAATAGCATTAGATTGGAGCAGTTCGGCGGCAAAAATGGTGTTGAAAAGCCAGATATGGAGCATGGTTGGAGATGCTCTAAGCAAGTTCTTTAACTTAAAAAAAAAAAAAAAAAAAAAAAACTCACATCACACACAACCCAATTTCTTAAAAACTTTGGGTTTGTTTACTTGTGAAATTTTACATAATTTAACTATTTCAATTTTTTTCTCTCTAAAAAAATTATTATTTATTTATTATATTATATTAAATTTTCATTTTACATTCAAAATATCGTATCAATAGATATTTCTATCTCACTAAATAATTATTTCAATTCAAAATTTTACTATTTAAAATCAAAATCTGGCCGGAAAACACACTGAGTCCAGGTCACAAGTCTCTCTAAGAAAGCATGTTATACTACTTGATTATAGCCAAATGGGTTCGTCAATCGAATTCAAGTATCTTTAATTGAAAATCAAGAGATCTTTTGCCATCCTAATTAGCACATGAACCAATACTTGTCAACAGCAATGCATACTTGCCTATTGCCACATGTTTAATTAACTCTAATTAGTACCTTAATCGCTACTATTAAATTAAAAGATTTCAAATTTTTAAAACACAAATAATTATATTAATATAATACAAATAAAACATATAAATTAATAATTTACATAATCTAACATAATACATGCTACGATTCATTACAAATATATTCGTATTGCAATTGAACAATACAATGTTGTATTATTGTGTCATGTTAAATAAAAATTGTTTTTTTATATATACTAACCGGATTACTTCAATATCACGCAAATAAGCACACCATGGTCATTTTGAATTGTTTTATATTTGAATATTTTTTAATAATATACATACATACATATATATATATGTTACAAATAATGAAGAAATAATATTCTCTCTATCATTTAAAAAAAAAAAAAAAAAAACTACTAAAAATTTGTTTAGTTATGGTATAAAATTGCTTTGAAATAAAATTATTGATTAAAAAACAAATTAGTGTATTTTGATGCAATATTTTGTAAGAAAAATGATACTCTCTCCATCCACTTTAAAAGTTTACTTTTACTTTTCTGCGATGTTGATATTTAAATATTAATTATTATATCAATACATAGTATAAATTAAATAAAAATGACAAAAATATTTCTATTAGTGTCTTATAATACAAATATAATGACATATGTATAAAAATTTATACAATATAATAATATTTTTAACGTTAAGTTAAATATAATGACGCATAAGGTAAATGTAAACTTTCAAAATGTAAACTTTCAAAACTGACGGAGAAAGTACATTTTGTTGAAAACTATATGGAATAAATAATATTTATTTGAATTGAAAATACTTTCTCAATCCCGGATATTTAGCCCTTTTTTTTTTATATTTTTACAAAAAAAAGTGAGATTAAATTTTCGAGAATGAGTAAGTAGTAAAGAACAAACCCTAAATTTATATCTATTCTATTTATAACAAATAAGTTCATCTTTTCATAACTTAATTACCCTTTCATTTAACAAATAATAATCAATTCCTCACTATATAATCCATAGCATGTTTACCAATTTTTTAATAAATTTCTCATAATACCTTTAATTTATTTTTATCTATTCTACTCTAACACTTGCATACTATTATTTCTTAATCTCATTCCTAATCAAACTTACAACAAAATTGCAAAAAATGACATTGTACAACATATCACAAGATTGGTTGACATTGGCGACTTGTAAAAGTATGGAAAGTATGGAACACCTTCTAATCAACATTGAGATTTCAATCATAGGTAGAGATGGCAACAAGTAATTTCAGTTTCCCAACATCTCCGAATTAAAGCAGGTTTCAACTTATTTCAGTCTCTTTGTTGGTGCGTGCAGTGCATATATAGATGATGGCCAACACAACAAGAGAAGCAATATTTCCAGTTGCAGGTAAAGAAAGAAAGAAAGATAGATAGTAGTATTAATTAGGCAGCAAATTTAGGAACTTCCCTGTGCTTGCAGATTTTCTTCTCGAGTTCGTCCTTATTGGCTCCAACCACTCGATCAACTTCCTTCCCTTGCTTCAGCAGCACGAATGTTGGCATTCCCTGCACTTCAAACTCACGCGCCACATCCTTCACCCAACCAACCATGTTTCAGTAATTGAAGAAATTCTCAAATCAAAAAACAAGGGTAAAATAGATATGAGAGAAACTAGAATGAATTAAATGCAACTATGTAAAGCAGAAACGCTAAAGTTCAATTGGATCGAAATAGGAAGGAGAAGACACGTACGGGGACCTCATCCACGTCTAATTTGGCAAACTCGACGTCGGTATATTTACTGGACATCGCCTCTACGGCTGGAAATATGAACTTGCAAGGACCGCACCATGAGGCCGAGAAGTCAACAACCACCTATAGAAACAAACAGATCGGAGAAATTTAGAGCCAAATTGAAGATTAGACGGAGAATTCGACGAGAACAGGAATTAGGTATTGTCAAACAGTAAGTTCAGGGTGCAACGAATAATGATCTCCGATTTGAAATCCGAAAACCAGCTCAACCAAAGCCGAATTGCGTTATTCCACCGGAGATCTGATGTCGTAGCAACGCCGCTGCAGTTCTGCGAGAAGTATGTAAGAGACAGAAATTAAGCGACGAACCAGTTTGTTCGATTCCTTGATTGATTGGAAATGGAGCTTCCAGCGCTGCGACGAGTGGTAGACCGAGACACGCGATGGTTCGGATGATGATTCGGCCGCCGCCGCCGCCGCCTCGCCGCCTATCACGGAAGAGAGAAACCCACCCATGGGATATTTTCAGTACATGGGTTTATTTTTCGTTTAAGGGCTGTTACTTATAGCCGGGTGAAAATTGGAGAATTCCTGGATCCGGGTTTGGATATCACAAGAAACCAGGCTCCGTTTAGGAAAAATAATTTGGAGAGAAGATGGAGTTTTAAAATTTAGATCAAACTAAAAAAATTATTACTAAAAATATTATTTTCGTTAGTCTCATATAAAATATTATTATCAAACTATTTTTTTTCTATTTTACATAATTTATTTTTAAATAAATATGTATTTTAATCGTATTTTAAATTATTTAATTATTTTAATTTTTAATTTATAATTATTTTATATTATATCATAATTATTTTTATAATTTTTAATTATCTTAATTTAAAAATATTTTGTATCATATAATAATTATTTTTAGTAATATATTTTTTAATTATTCAATAATAACATTTCTCCTAAATTATATGGTACTATTGTAAATATATTTACTGAAACAAATTGATATGACATTTTAAATATATATATAGTAATATTTTTGAAAGATTGAATAGTATAAATTTTTTTCAACAAATATATTGTGTAAAGAAAAACAATTTACTTTGTTTCTATTTATGGAGAATTTTACATAAATTACCAAAGTCTATCCTTATTAACTTCTCATTCATAATTTTCTTTCTCATTTACTCTCCATTACTTTTTTTACTTAAAGATCTAAAAGATCACAAATATATAGTATTACTTTTCTTTAGTCCCGCATAATTTGTCGTTTTTTTATTAGAAATATTATTATACATTTGACATCTTAAATTTTAAATTTTATAATTTAATTTATAATATTTTTAATAAATAATAATTATTTATAGTAATAAACTTTTTAATTATTCAAAAAAACATGTACATTTTAAAAAAAGATCTGAGCTTCCAACCTAAAATCAATTGGTATTTGGTGGAATAATTTTTCATTTTTATAAGCCAAGAAAGTTACCACATGTTTACCAATGTGTTACATATTCAACATGGACAATCATTCGTATTACGAAAATACTTTTCGAAAATTATATTTCACCCTATCTATGGGGTTACACAAAATCAATTTCTGAGATAGACAAGAGAATAAATTGAAGAGGATCCAAGTGTTTGTAGTTTGTTTTTTTTGGTATTGTTCGATTTACTTATAGCAGAGAATAGAGAATAGATGCGACAACCAAGTAGGGAATTTATTTCATTCCAAAAATTCCGAAACTAATTAAATAGTCCGACCAAAGCAAGCAAGTAGCAGCAGCAGCTTAATGTAAAAGGCCAGTGAAGAACAGTATAACCTCATTGTATAATATTCATGTTACATAACATAAATATTCCTAAACTCATGAGAAAAAAGGAAAACAAGACATGACAGGACAAAGTTTGAGTATAATACGGAAAAATGAACACAAGTTAGCAATACCTGGTTTTATGATTTACTGAAACGGCACCGGAACTCCTTGCTTCTTGTTCACTATTGCCATGGCTAAGTACCGATTGCCCATCCCAATGGGGGCCTGCTCCTCTGGACCCTCCCAGAATGGGGCTTCGCCGTCACCCACCAGACGCCAATATCCTGTTCTTAGAGATTCAGCTTGCTCATCACTACACTTATCCAACAAAGCTTCAACCCGGAAGTTGATTCCAAGAGAACCAAGAAATTGGGATTGAGTTACTGGACCATGGATGGATACATCTCCTGCAGCACGCGCTTGAGTTTAGAAACCATTTTGTCGCATGAGATGGACGACTAAGAGGTCATTTAGAAAATATTATGCCACACCTAATCACTAAACATAACTTCCATAAACCATGTTTCCATGTTTTGCAAGTATTTTGCAATTCATTTACATTCGTTTCCAAATTTGTTTAGGCACTATTCATAAAGTTTTATCTGTAAAATACATCTCATTCAATACTCATATTCTATTTAAAATATTGCATAAAAAATCTATTTTCTATACCAAACATTGCATCAAAGACATATTAAATCATATACTTATTTTTAGTTATTATTCCCCAAAATCTTCAAACCATGACTTAAGTAAAAAAAATGAAAAAATATATATATATTTGATGTGATGTGTTGGATGTAAATATTTTGAATAGAAAATTTTTATAAAAAAAATGTTCTAAATATGATGTTTTTTAAAGAGAAACTTTGATCAATAGAGCAAAAACAAAGTTGAAGATATAAGTGAGCAAAAGATTTCAATAAAATGAAATGCTTATTTAAAATATTATTTATCAATATTCATATCCACAAAACAAAACTATCTCACATACTTCCAACATGCATATATCCTTATGTCAATCCCAGAAATGACATTTTATAGTTGCTTTCTTTGAGGTTTTCACAGAACATATAACGGTTGAGTATAGAATTAGTAGGGAACCTGAGACTTCTTCAGCGGAATGACGAATAGCAGCAAAATCAACATATGCGCTGAGATCAGCAGTTCCAGGATTATCAAGTATGTCAACAAACTTATGCTTCCGAATGGCCTGCAATTAATTAGAGTCAGTTTATTGTTTCTAGAGCATATATTATAAAGACTTTTTAAAGGCAGACCTGTAGGCTGTCCGAAACTATTCCGTTGAGGCCATAGTCGATTATGAGAGCTCCGCCACCATCAGTGCTTACTCTCTTGGAAATTTCTTGAGTTAAATCCATCGCCTTTGGACAGACTTCGATATGATTGACACCAGCAGTTTCTTCAGAACCAGCCCATTTACATCGCTGCAAAAGATAGAGAGTTGCCGGTGTGGGATGTGGAGATAAAACGAACCGGAATCTGAAAATGTATTAACAAGTAAGAAATTAATCCACAATATCAATTAGAGGACTTGTGACTAATGCATAAAATGACACAGGATTCAGAAGCTTACGATGAATTCTCATCAACATCGACCATCTTCTCACACCAACCACGAGAAGCTTTCTGCAAGAAAATTGCGATAATCTTAAGCTAAACTCACCTTTAAATGCCATTCAAGCGATCATTTTCCACGTGTAGTGCTTAGAAAAATAAGGAGCCAAAATCCAAATAATGTACTTATATAGCCTGTGCCAATACATTGTTACTTAAAGAAAAAGCTTTTCAATCCAAGAAATTTAAGGCAAACTATTGATATGTACTGTAATAAAATAGATATATTACATAGATTGAATACACAATCAGAGAGCATCGGGCAGAAATTATACCCAGGGGCTAGACAAACCTGAAACTGGTGTACTGGCAAAGCATCATAGAACTCGTGGGCAATGATGATTGTAGGCACTGAAAGTAAAAGAATGAAAACACTGATTAGCTCAGCCCACAAAAAATTTCCATCTATATTGTGATTTTTGTGCACCTTTCCTTACTGATATTGCTTTTCACACAAGGGGCGGCAATTTAGGTAAATACTAGGATCCAAATGAGAATCCATGGGCTATATTGACATGATGAAATCGTAAACTTGCACTTGCTAACACGTGCGACAGTATAGTCATTGGTAATAAGCCAAATTAAACAATGTCACCGGATATCTACATGATGAAACTACGAGCATTTTTTCTAGCTCTATGAAATGCACTCAACTACACTTCAACTTCAACTACCTACAGAATATAATATGAATCTTACAAGGATAAATTCCTTACATCCTGTTGGAACCTGTTCAAGTGTTGCGTGCCATGACACAGGGGTCCCAGATAATCCACTAATACACCGTGTCTCTGCACCACTTCCATCACTGCTAGCTTCAGTCGTGCATTTCAATTTTTCATACTGCAGTTTCTGCAATGCAGGGCTACATTCAACCAAGTGTATATTCAAGCAATCTGTGAAATTCCTTAGCTTCGATGTACCCTGCATACAACCTTAGTGAGTAAAATTTTGAGGCCCCAAAGCAAACTAAGGGAATAGATAGATACATACATTTCAGGTCACAAGATCATTAGCATGTATGGTTAGTGTGCTCTGTAAAAAAAAGTTTGAAATTCTGATCCATACATGTAAAAGATCAGACATAAGAGTTCCTCTGCCTGGTCCCAATTCAACTAAGTTAACCTTTCCTGGTCGCCCCATTTGCTCCCAAAGGCACATTGTCCAAACACCGATCATCTGAAGCAAGAAAATAATACCAATGAACTAAACAAATTGCATTCAAATAATCTGAAATGAAGATGACCCTCCTAAAAATATTAAACTCACTTACATAGTCACTCATCTAATCATTTAATCTTATATGTAGCTGTAAGATTCAAGAACCTCGGGAATTCATGATGCAATTAAATTTTTAGCACTAAATTTCAATCTCTGCGACTCTTACTGACAAAAAGGAGATGTTGTAAACACCTCTCCAAACATCTGGCTAACTTCTGGGGAGGTAATGAAATCGCCTCCAGCTCCAAATACATCCCGATTGATGTAAAAACCAGCCTTCGGATTGGTCAGGACTTCCTCCATGTACTCAGCAACAGTAATTGGACCCCCTCTAAACTAACATCACCAAAATTCCATAATTCTCCACTGAACATAAATTTATATATATACATATAAAAGGAAAGGCACCCGGAGTACCTTGATGATATTTTTAAGATGCCTCACAAGCTCAGAATCAGTAGATGGCTCGTGAGAATGCTCTGAAATCATAAGCACGCTTAAATTAATTACAATCTAAAGAAATAATTAGCGAAGTATAGATATCAGAAATGGAGTGTTACCAGGAGGATGGAACAAAGCGGAGCGGTCGATGGAGACAGTGGCGGAAGGCTGCGGTTGAGAAGGGTCCTCCAAGTGTTCGACGAAATGATCGCTTGGAACTTGAGAGGAGGAGGAGAAGGAAGAAGAGGAAGAGAACAAGCAGTGCCGCAGCAGTGATGCGTGTGGCCGTGGAGGCGGCGCCGACGCCGCGAGGCATCGAGCGGAAGCTCGGAGCAGCGCCTTCCTCAACATCTCCCCGTAAACTTTGCGATTGAAAAGTGATTCCAAATAGTAATAGATTCAAGCTGAAGCCCTTTATTTTTTTTTTCTCTCATAGAGATTGGTATCTCTGTTTACTCGACATATTTTCACATTTTCAGTCATTTCTTACATAAATATTAAATTAAATATTATTTTTTTTTCTCTATCCTACTAAATAATTAAAAAATATATTAGTAAAAATAATTATAAATTAAAATTAAAATAATTAAATAAGTTAATTACCATTAAAAAAATTTAAATTTTAAATTTAAAAATATTATTAAAATATATAATCCATTTTTTTAATTACGTGAAACAGAGTAATTTTAAAACTTTTCCAATTTTTCAAATTTTTCTTAAAAAAAAAAATACCCCTTTGTTAACAAACCCTGGAGTTTGAGATTTGAGCATTGTGGTGTTTGTCTGGTAGCTATTAGATTTTATTAATTGTCAAGGGTGTGTTTGTTGGGGGGATTGGATTTAATTTACACTATTTCTCTTTTTTTTCCCAAAAATGTCAAATTAAATAGTTTTTTTTTATTTTTTATATTATATCAAAAATCAATTTTACATTCAAAACATCACATTAATATCTATTTATATTACATTATACAACTATTTAAATTTAAAATTTTTACTATTTAAATCTCAATCCCAAACAAACGCACCCTTAATTTGATTGGCTTAATATATTAGCTATTTGTATTTGGTAAAATAGTTCTTTTAATACTCCCTCAATCATCCAATTGTGGTTTTAAGAAAAATATGTAAGAATAGAAAATTTTATTTTTTTTTCAGTAAAAAAAACGATATTTTTTTACTTAAAAAAATAAACCGGAATAAATTTAGATGACAAACAAACAAAAAAAAAAAGTCACATTGAATGAGAGAGTATTAGTTATATACATGAATGGATAATTAAAAATATTTATATTTTATTTTTAAAATAATTAGTTATATTTTTTTGTGTATAGAATATTTTCAAATTTTTATTATTACTTATTAAAAATATGAAAATTTATTAAATATTTTGTAAAAGTTAATGTATTTTTAATGAAATAATATAAATATTTTTTCGTTAGGAATAGTATAAATTTTTAATAAATACTAAATAATTTGTATATGTATTTTTATTAAATTAATTTTTAATTAATTTATGTTTCATTAAATTTATAGTTTTAAATAAATTTTTTCTAATATATTTGTCGACAATAAAGAAATTATGTGACAAAATTATATAGTATATATTAAATAAATTAATAATAATAATAATTTTTATTTTTTTGGACAAATTTAAAAATTCTACAAATAAAATAATTTATTTATAAATAATAATACTTTAAAAGTAAATTTATTGTTTATTAAAAAATATATTAAAATAATAAATAATATTGCAATGAAAATTATATTAATATATCTAAAATGAATTAATTATTTTAAAGACAAATAAAAAATAAAAGAAATTAAATAATAAATTTATTTTGAAATGTTGTTATTTCAAAAAGTTAATTTATCAAATATTTAAGAAATGTTTGGCAATTAGCTCATATTTATTTAAACTGCTAGTTGATTTAATTAGTTAGTTTGACTAATCGACTATTTGTACTAAAATATTTGGTAAAATAGTTATTTGATATTAGTTACTTATACGTAAAATAATAATTAACGACATTTTATATATTTCTAAAAATATCTAATTGCATCATTTTGATGCATAAGATTTGGTAGAATTTTGATTGTTAGTTATTCCAAATCATGAAAGTTTTATTAAATTATTTGATTTTGTTGTTTTTTATAATATTTTTAAGAATATGAGTTATTTGATTAAAAATAATGTAATATATAAAGAATAAATTATTTGTATATATATTTTTAATTAATTTAATTTTCATTACATTTATAATGTTAAATAAATTTATTTTAATATTTTCCATAAAAAAATTATGTCATAAAAAAATATATATAAATAAATTAATTATATTCGTATTTTTATTTTTTCTTTATTTTAACAAAGTTTTTTAAAAAACAATTATAATTTCAACTACTTTAAATTTATAAACTAGATCTATATATCTTTAGAATAAATATAATAAATCATTAATGATATTGTAATAAAAAACTATATTAACAGGAATGAAATAAATATTTAATTCTTAGCAGCAAAAATGAATAAGGAAAAATATAGTGAAAAAATTATTCTGAAAAGTTGGGATACCTATATTTAAAAATTTAGTGCTGGTCCAATAAACTATTTTAAAAAATTAAATCAAATGTTTAAATTAGCTTTTTGATCAGTGAAACTTCAAAAAGCTAAAAATTATTTGAAAAATTGTTTTTCAAACACTCATTATATTAATTTATTTGACTGCTAAAAGCTCTCCAAAAAATTGTTTTTCAAATACGCCATAATAACTTTTTGTATTTGGTTACATAAATAGATAGGTAAAATAATAATTTATAAAAATACAAAAATATGAAACTGTACTATTGCTAGCAAGAATTAAATCTTCATTCTGGATTTTCATTTGTCTAGGATGTTTTAATGACATTCTGTCGTCAACACAAATATTCACTGATGTCGGTTGTTATTGATTAAGTTGGCATTCTTGCAAAGTTGTTAAATCACATTACATTTTATAAATTTGCAATTCGGATTGTATATACATATCAACATTATGAAACTTCAAAATTTCTACAAAAGAATTATTTTATCAATCTCAAAGATCAGATTCGACCAAACTTCAACTCTGATGGCATTAGCGATGAGATTCACAGTGAACGTCACTCACCAGGACACGCAAGATTGGGAATAAGAACAAATAAGAGAGTGTGTGGTTCGATTCATTTTGTAGACACTTATTTTAATTTAATTAATTAGACAAAATTCTAGAAAATCTGTTTACAATTTTGACTAAAGTCAATGCATGGATTTTACTAAAAATAATTTTAAAATCTACATGTCGTTCATGTAACACTAACAAATTAGACATGTAAATGTCAAATCGACATAGACATATTCTCGACAACGTGTCATTTTCAATGATGTGAGACTATTTCCACGAAAAAAAAATGAATTGCTTGACAATTTCAATACAAAATCGATTTATAGTTCTAAGGTAATAATACAGTTCATGTACGGGATTAGAGAACAATTTACGTTAAAAAATGGTGTATCTGTTTAGTTTTTTTAAGGCAAAATTGCCCATAACTCCCTTGTGGTTTCGAAACTCAGCGTAAATTCCCCATTTACTTTAAAAATTGCATGGTACCCCCTTATACTTTAAAAAACGTTGCATGAAACCCCACCACCATGAAACTTTCCTCATGTGATATGAAGATGATTTCCTATCTATATGTTTTGCATGACAGGGGATTTTATGCAATATTTTTGAAAATATAAGTGAGCTCATGCAATTTTTTAAAGTATAATGGGAATTTATGCTGAGTTTCGAAATCACAATGTGGTTTCATGCAATATTTTTTAAAGTATAAGGGAGTACCATACAATTTTTAAAGTAGACGGGGAATTTACGCTGAATTTCGAAACCACAATGGGATTATGGGCAATTTTGCCATTTTTTAATTTGAAGTATTTCTATATTAAGTATAAAGTGTATGACGATAATATAAAAATAATATTTTATGATAAATTATTGTTGATTATGAGTTGATAAAATCTATATATATATATTGTGAGTATGAATAGATATTGTATTTTCTAGTGGTAAAATTTTTCATAAATATTATAACAAAAATAAATAAATCTATTTGTATATATTAACACAATATATATAATATATATTATCTATTCATAAAAATAAATAATTTAATATAAAATATTAATTTTATATTACTGTGAGAAGTTTGTACATTTAATATTAAAATACATTCATACTAAAATATAAAATGAACATACCCATTATATTCTTTTAACAATATTAATCATTAAACATATATAAAAATATTATTAGGTGACTACATTTCAAAATATTATAATTTAATTTTTTTTTAAAATATCAAATCAAATAATTATATTTTTTTTATATTATACTATAAATATATTTTATTTTTAAAATATTACGTCAATATCAATTTATTGAATAACTATTTAAATTCAATTTTTCTAAAATTTACCAATCAAATTCAAGCAAAATACCCTAAAAATACAAACAAAACTGGAGTTTAATTTGAGACATTCTTTTATGATGATTATTATTTAGTTTATCATTATTTTTAATATTAATTATATTATACTCCCTCAATTTCACATACAATATCTACACTGTACATACTGTATTTAGGAGGGTGTAATTAGTAAATAATTAAGAATATATTAACAAAAATAATTATTTTATAATATAAATAATTATAAATTAAAATTAAAATAACTAATTATTTTAATTAAAATTTAAAAAAATAAATTAAAAAGTTTAAAATGACACTGAATATATAATGGACAGAAACTGCAAGAGGGAGTAATTATTAGTATAATTTAGATTTTATCAACACATAATAATAATAATAATAATAATTCTGAATACGAACGTAGCTAAAAAATTGTGATTAAATGCAATACATTATGCATAATTGCATATACACCCCTCAATCTATGACATTTTTCGGTTCTACCCCGTAAGATGTTAACTGGTTTTGCGACGCGCGTCTGATCAAATCACAACTGTCGATACTCCTACAGCACGGCTCGGATCGATTCCCTCCCCATCCATCCCATCGCCATTAACGTGGTCCCCTTTCCATCTCCAGCTTCTCTTCCTAGGGTTTTCTCGAAGGGGCCGGCGATTGCCAATTCCCTTTTCCGATTCACCGATTCGCTTCAGATCTGTAGCAACAAAATGTACGGATTCGAAGCGCTGACGTTCAACATCCACGGTGGATACCTGGAGGCGATCGTTCGAGGATACCGCTCCGGTCTCCTCACCGCCGCTGATTACAACAACTTATGTCAGTGTGAGACACTGGACGACATCAAAATGCATCTCTCCGCCACCGAGTACGGGCCCTACCTCCAAAATGGTTAGTATCCGTTCCAAATTTAACGAGGGGATTGAGTTTCTCTTCTTTTGCGCGACCTTCGTGAGATATATTGAATTGGTGTTACTGGATTGGATCAGAGTGTTCGTTGTGGAGTGATCCTGTTGATCTCGTTTTCACGCTCCTGATCTTCCAAATCATTGGTTTCGATAGGATATTGTGTTTTGCTGATGTTCAATTTTCTTAATTTTGGGGCTTGCGAGTAGACTTCTTATTGATCCATAGGAGATTCATAAATTGGAACTGACAGCATGGTTTTAAACTTATTAAGTTGAATTTCTGAATAAAGTGAAGTTGAGTAACACATTACTTGATTATTCATCTTTTAAAGGAAATTATTGGATCATCAGTGAGAGATGGTCTATGCTTATTCTGGTCGAAGATTTTAGATGTTCAATGTGTATATGCATTTTAACTCTGCTTCCATGATTTTAAGAGCCTGTTTTCAATCGGTTATTGTTATTAGTTCCATTATAGTTAAGTTGGGTTCATCAGTTTTCATCAGGTCAAGTTTTATTTATCAGAATAAATTCTTAGTATATTACTTAAAGGCTTCACTATAAAAAAGTATGTTACGTTGCAATTCAAATCCATTTTAGCCTCCTTTGAAGCATTTACTTACAAAGTGGATATCTATTTGTTTATTAATCCTTGTTAGGTTTTTTTATTTCATCTATTGTCAGAAGCTTTTCTAGTTCTTCTGCTTGGTGAAATTTTCGGAGAATGGCATATAATTTGTTAATGCTCTGTCTATGCAGAGCCCTCCCCATTGCATACTACTACAATTGTGGAGAAATGCACCCTCAAACTGGTTGATGAGTACAAGCATATGTTAACCCAAGCCACAGAACCTCTATCGACCTTTCTGGAGTACATCACGTATGTGGGTTCATTGTGATGCTTCTGTCAAATGTATAATGTGCTTTCGTTTCAGGGGTAGTTATCTTTGGTGACGTTTAGATGGGGACTTCACCTGCATACTGCAAATTAACGCTTTCAATTAATGATCTAGGAATAAAATGCCATGTGCAATATTCATTCTGCAACGAGTGGAACCTAACTTCTGATACACAATTAGAAATGTTCCCTAAGTTTGTTTAACTCTTTATTTGTCACATCTTTTTTCTCTTTTGTTAAGCATTTTTACCATCATTTGTCTGGCATGGGAACTTCTCACCAGAAAATTTATCTTATTATTTAGTTATGGCCACATGATCGACAATGTTGTGCTCATTGTTACTGGAACTTTGCATGAGAGGGATGTTCAGGAGTTATTGGAGAAATGTCATCCTTTGGGGATGTTTGACAGGTACTGTTAACTTTGCATAATCCAACTTTCTGGCTCATATAAAACTGTTATCTTGGTATAATGTAATCAATAATTTCTACAGCATTGCGACTCTAGCTGTTGCCCAGAATATGCGGGAGCTTTACAGACTGGTGCTTGTTGACACACCCCTGGCCCCATACTTTTCTGAGTGCATCACTTCGGAGGTTTATGTTGCTTCCCATTTTATTTAGCTTGATGACCTGTCACTGATCCACTTAACTGTAGAAATAATTTCGAGCAGTAAATACTTTCATGCTGTATATGTTTTCATGATTGTGTGTTTATCATAACATGGCTTATTTGGCAGGATTTGGATGACATGAACATTGAAATTATGAGGAATACTCTTTACAAGGCATACCTTGAAGATTTTTACAGGTTTTGCCAGGTATATGGTCAGTTTGGTGTGTTTTGATGTAGTTGCTTACATTAGAATATGTTTTTGAAGCTTACTAATGCATAAATTACTTGTAGAAACTTGGTGGTGCCACAGCAGAGATTATGTCTGACCTCCTTGCATTTGAAGCTGACAGAAGAGCAGTTAATATCACAATAAACAGGTTGGTCATGGTCCAGACCGATCTTTACGCAAACACCCACAAATTATCTGCTTTTATCATTTCCTGACTCTGTTGTTTGTGTTTATCTCTAGCATTGGCACCGAGCTTACTCGAGATGACCGGAGGAAGCTGTACTCTAATTTTGGCTTACTGTAAGGACCTTTTTCTATAAAAATGAAAAATTAAAATTAGAAGTTTAGTTTTTGTGCTCTGTTATAGTTTCTTTTTCCTGTCACTGATGGGGTGTGTGCTTTTTCTTTTCTTCTTTTTTTATAGATATCCTTATGGTCACGAGGAGCTTGCTATCTGTGAAGACATTGATCAGGTACTTAATGATTTACTCCATATGCTGTTATTTTGCTGCCCTTGCTAATGAAAATGGAAAGTTTGGAGCACCACTAGAACTTTTCTTTCCTATAGATCTTGAGGACTGATTATCCATCATACAGCCTGAAAGATATTTAATCTATGATAACAAAAGGCATTTTGTTTGTGGTGTCTTTCTTTACCCGGACATGAAAAGCACAAAAAGTTAGGACTTCAGAAAATGGACTAAAGCTCTTTGACATTGGACTTTTTTTGGTTTTTTAATAAACCTTTGTAATGGTAGTTTTTAATTAAGTAAACGAAGAGGAATGGTGAGTGGTTTGCTAGTAATGGGTTCTGCAATTAAGCTAGCCTCCTTGTAACGTCTTTTATTTTTTTTTGTAATTTGAGATCTTACTAAATTCTACTTTGGGAGGTTTGTAAAATTCCTTGTGGTCTGATTACCTGGCTGGATTGCATGTGATGATGCGTACTTGGGAGCTTATTTGATGATCAGACATGCAAACTTACCTTAATCACTAGAAGCTTTAAAAATTTTGTTGCATCTAATGTGTTGAGAATCTCCGTGTGCCTACAAGTTTTCTTGTCAATCCTCTTTGCAAAGGGACCTGATTTTTATACCAGGCATCATGTTTACTTCGGTATATATTTGCCTAAGGCATGGTAGCTGTATTTTTTGTTACCGTTGGAAGACTATATAATATGTAATTAATGATGGATTTTCTTATCAGTTTAAACTTTTAGGTAAATGGTCATTTAATAGTTACTATTTTCTTGCATTTTCCTGGTCCACTTCTTCTTGTTGATTAGAACCTCTGCCCGTCCCGTTCTCTTAATTTGTTCAATATTCATAGGTCCGTGGTGCCATGGAAAAGTACCCTCCTTACCAATCCATATTCTCCAAGTTATCTTACGGGGAGAGTCAGATGCTCGACAAAGCCTTTTATGAAGAGGAAGTAAAACGACTCTGCTTGGCATTTGAGCAGCAGGTTTGTTTACATTGTGTTTGTTTGGAGGATCTTGAAAGATTTTCACTATTTACACTATTTTTTCCCAAAAATATCAAATCAAATACCAATTTTTTATTTTTTATATTATACTAAAAATCAATTTTATATTCAAAACATCACATCAATACTTATTTATATTGCATCATACAACTATTTCAATTCAAATTCTTTACTATTCAAATCCCAACTAAGAATCCAAAGCTTAAAACATACACACCTTTACTGAATCTTGGCATCGCCAACGGATATCTTGCGATAATTTATTGACTTAGCGACCATTTTGACATGCAGTTCCATTATGGTGTATTTTTCGCATACATGAGGTTGAGAGAGCAGGAGATCCGGAACTTGATGTGGATATCAGAATGCGTAGCACAGAACCAGAAATCGCGAGTACACGACAGCGTGGTCTTCATATTCTAGTAAGAAATGAATGAATGCATCACAATTTCCGACTACATACGTGCTTCTAAAAATTGGTTGAGATTTCATTTCATCTGCTGCTGCCTTATTTGAGTTTTTGTTGTTTATTGGAGTTTGATGAATAAGCCGTGCTGCTGTTGTTGTCGTCGTCGTCGACATGAACAATAATATTTATATGCCTGCCTATAAAATCTATACGTCCTCACGGCACGCCACTAATATTTTTATCATTTTTATTTTCGACCGAAGAGATTGTAGGTTTTGATTGGATGGATGGATGATGGATTAGATTAAGGCTTGTTGATGATGGGTTTCATTCGTGTATGTTACGTTGTTGCTGGGATTTGTATTCTACTAACATATTCTCTCTCACTTCTTATAGCTACTCCCTCCGTCCCAGATATTATGTCCACGTTGCCATTTCTGTCCCACATGCCATGTCATTTCCTTTTTTTTTTTTTAAATATTACACATTTTAATTTCATTTTTAAATTTTTTTTTTTTAATTTTAATTAAATTAATTAGTTATCTTAATCTTAATTATTTTCACTAATACATTTTTAATTATCTACTTATTATATTTCTCCTAAAATACCGTATCTATAGTGTAGCAGACACTGTATACGTGGGATCCTAAAATACCGTGTCTAGCAGACACGGTGTTATAGGGACGGAGGGAATACTGCTTAATAAAAGATGGTTTTATACTCCTAACTGTATTTGGCCATTACTACTACATTTGGGGAAATAGAAATTTTGTTTGATCTTATATTTTAAATAAAAAATAAATACATTACTTGATTTTTTTGCTCATAAAAGATTATAGTGGATGCTAAGAGAAACATTTGGTTTTGATTTGAATTTAAAATTTTACTTAAATAATATTTAGATGAAATATTCTGTAAATACTATTTTCGAGTTTAATTTTGTTTTATTAGAGGCAGTAAACTATTTATTAAAATACTTGTTTGGTTGTAGTTTTAAATTTTTAATGAAGTGTTATATTATTTATATTTAAATAATATTTGAATGTGATATTTTTGTAAGAGTAAATAGTATTTTCTCAGTTTCGTAACAATGTATTTATTTATTATTTGTATCATTGTATTTAATATTAAAAATATTTTTATAATGATTGTTGGTACAAATGTCATTATAAACACGATAAAAATTAAATAGATATTTAATTACCGGATGGAGGGAGTATATTGTTTTTGAAAACAATGTTTATTAAGTATATTATCTCCGTTTAACTTTAGTTGTCCAGTTTTGTTTTGTGTAGATATAAGAATCTAAACAAAAGCATAATCAGTAAATAATTAAAGATTATATTAATAATATTAATTATTTTATAATATTAATTATTAAGATTAAAAAATTATAAATTATAAAATTTAAAATAAATTAAAATGTATAATTATTTTTTTTTAAAAAAAATAGATGTATAACAGACTTAAATAAAAAATTTAGACTTATATGGGAAGGACGAAGTAATGTTTAGGGCATGTTTGGATTAGCTTTAATAATCAAAAGTCAAAGGAAAAAAAAAAAAAAAAAAAACAAAAGAAGAAGAAGAAGAGAGAGAGAAGCCATTTGATCTTATATTTGAGTAAATTTTTATAAAACCAAAGGGTTTGTTTTAAAAAAAAAAAAAAAAAAACACACTAAGAAATAACATGATTTCAATATATATATTTTACCATTACAAAAAACATACCTACAACATGAAATACTACTTTTTATGTTAACGACACATAAAAACCCTAAGGGTGTGTTTGCTTGAGGGATTGAATTTTTTTTTCACTGTTCATTCAATTTTATTTTTTTTCAAAAATATGAAATCAAACACTTATTTTTTATTTTTTATATTATACTAAAAATCAATTTTACATTCAAAACATCACATCAATACCTATTTATATCACATCATACAATTATTCAAATTCAAAATTTTTATTATTTAAATCCCAACTTAAAATCCAAATCTCCAAACAAATACACCCTAAATAAGCTAATTCAATTCTTTTAAAAATATTTTTGCTTATTTAAGAAACCACCTATAAATGTTCTTTAAGAAAAAGAAAACTCCCGCCAAAAGTTGTTTTTAATATATAAATATATTCTCTACGTTCTATTTAATTGGTTCTTTTTTATTTGTTGTCAAATTTTATTCAAATTTAATTTTACATTTAAAATATTATATCAATAAATATTTATATTATATCAAACAATAATTTTAATTTAAAATTTTACTATTCTAAGTCAAAACACAAAACTAAAACTTCACATGCAATAATAAGATATTTTAAATTATAATAATATATTATTTAAAATTTTATTCTCGATATAAAATTCATATTTTAAATAATAATAATATATTATTTAAAATAAATATTTTTCCCTCGATATAATAATATTCACATATATATATTTTATAAGATATTATATTTAAAATATTTAAATATGTCTTTTAAATTTATTTTAATCTTATATATTAATTCTTATAATAAAATTATCAATAATATTGCTTTTATAAAAATATAATAAAATAATATCATAACTCATATTATTAATTAATTAATTTTTTTTATTATTTTAAATATTGTGTCTCAATCAAATGAGTCATATGAAATGAAACAGGAAGCATGTACCACCTGAATGTGCTTATTATTTAAGAATAAATTCATAGTATAATCAATTTTGACTAAAAACGACATTTAAGTGCGTATTTGGCCGAGTAGTTTTTGAAGGATTATTTTTTATTCGTAATTCTTTTTTCTGGAAAAATATAAAATAAAATACTTATTTATATTTTTATATTATATTAAAAATATATTATAAAATATTAATATAAATTAATGCAAATAATAATAATAATAATAATAATCTAAACTTAAATATATAGAGAGAGATAAATAACAAAGAACGGAGAATCATAAAAACATTAACGAAGAGAGATGAGAGACAAACTCATAACTATTCACTAATTACTGATAATTAAATTATATTTGACATTGATCAGTAAAAATTAAAGATATATTTTACAAAATTAATATTAAAGGGACATAATTTAAAAAGACGGTCAAATATAAGGATATAAATTAATAATACCTCGTGAAAAATGATACCCTCTCTTAAGTTTTTCTATTTGATATGAAGAGTTATTGATCGAACTATTCTACTCTGAGATGTCCTACGAAGAAAGGTGTTGGTGTGTGAAGGTGAAGAAGGAAGAAAAAAAAGAATATGAACGGTTTATCACATATTGGAAAAATAAACAGACTACATCATCTGTAAATATAATAGTTCCCATTTATGATTAAAGAATTAATTTGTTGGATTGGATTCAATTGTGAATGAACCTAGCATTGACATGGGCATTGGATATATATATATATTTAAAATTGGGCCTTGGGCCTTAAGGCTCGTGGGCCGGGCTCAATTGAGATAAAATTAATTAATTCAAAATTTATATTTTATTCGATTAATTTATCTTGACCGTTGAAATTCAAATTAATCGGATAGAAAAAAATAGTTACAACATAATGCAATATGTGTTAAATAGTGGAGGATGGTTGGACACTTTAATTTAATTTTCTTCCTTGAATTAAACATTAGACTCACCAACAAAATTGAACACGAATCAACTCAAAAGAAAATACTATGTGCTCCCTTACTATCTATTTTCTTTCTTTTCAATTTTCTCCAAAAACTTCCAAAGTTTTTTTTGGTTCGGTTCGTGGTAGGATTGTGAATCCCTAGTTGATTCGTTTATCATGGGAAGCAACTGATGGCAGACCGGATTTTCTTTAAAGAGATCGCGTGCAACGCGAAACTCGAATTTGTTCTTAATTAGATCTGTTATTTGATTTCGATTTGCGCATCTTGATTTTCAATGTGTTTTTTTTTTTAGCTAACAATCTTGAAGCAAATTTGTGTGAAAATTTGAGATAGCTTACGAAATTCCCCAAATTTTCGATCATATCGCGGCTGCCTAGAACATACCTGATGGCGAAGGAATGATCGACATTGTGCGCGATGGAGGCGATAGAAATCTGAACGACGACGTTCAAATTGGTGCAGAGGAGGAGAACGAGGAGGTGAACTCCAACGAATCGCACACTCCGATTATGGTTCCATCCATTCCAAAATTGCAGCCACTCAGTGAGGCTACTAAAATCGTTGCTACCAGGTATCAAGCGCGTAACGCAGCCAGGAGGGCTGTTGTCAAAAAGGTTGTGAAGGCAGCGTACGAACAGGCTTTCAAGGCCGCGATGGAGGGAGCGCAACCTGTTGCTGCGACCTCCAACCAATCTGTTGTTGGAGGTAAAAACGGGATCTTGTTGATACCCATGTGAGACAGCCTGATGTTGTTTTGCCTCGTCTGCAACGTATGGCTGCAGGACTTGCGCAGGGTCTCGTTGTGCCTACTGGACAACAACTAGACGAGTTTGAGGGTATATAGCTTGTTGTTGTTACGGACCATGTAATGCAGTATGTCGCTACAACTTTTATGCAGTCTGTCGCTACAACTTTTTAGGCAGCCTGTTGCTGCGGCACCGAAAAGCTAGAAAAATTCAACGGACATAAATTTAAAACATAACAGCAAAAGATGTTGTTTTATCCGACCACGTTGTATCTGGCATACTGACTGATGGAGGATACACCTGTTGTGCCTGAAGGATCCTCGAAAAAACAAAAAACACAAATTCTGAAAGCTTGAAATCACTCAGATTTTATGTGCAAAAATTATATATTGAATAGCTTGAGCGACTCTCTGTACGGTGTCTACCGGAATGCGCTAACGGCTAAGCAGCTATGGAAGACGCTGGAGTGAATCAACTTCAAAGAAAATACTTTATGCTCCCTTACTCTCTATTTTCTTTCGCTTCAAATTCCTCCAAAAACTTCCAAAGTTTTATTGGTTCGGTTCGTGGTGGGATCGTGAATTCCTAATTGATTCGTTTTATCCTGGAAAGCAACCGGTGGCGAGCCGAATTTGCTTCAAGGAGATCGTGTGCAACGCGAAACTCGAATTTGTTCTTAATAAGATCTGTTATTTGAATTTGATTTCCGCATCTCGATTTTCAATATATATATATATTTTTCTAACTAACAGGGGAATCCTCAGCGTGAGTTAAAGCAAGTTTTCCATTTTTTCTTTCTTCAACGGAGACGATAAACCATGTTCTCTTTCCGCTATGTGATATACCGTCAGCCAATTGAAATGAAGTTATAGAATAGTATAAGGTATTGTGGGTGACACAAAAAAGTATTGTGTGGGAGCAGTATGACTTTGATGTGCAACATATGGACAGCTTGCAATGAGTTAATCTTCTAGGGTAAATCAATATTGACTATTGGAATCATCAAAAAAATCAAATGAAATACTCTCTCCGTTCCGAAATTAAATATTCATTTGCTTTTTTGCACTTAATTTTAAAAATATTAGTATTATATTAGGATATAGTATGAATAAAATAAAAATGACTAAAATAACCTTATATGATATAAATATATATTGTAAGTTGTAAGGGTATTGTAATGGTAGGTAGAAGTAGAGTTACTAAAAAAGAAATAGATACTTTATTACGGGACGGACAAAAATGAAAAAATGGACGAAGGGGGTATATGAAAACAATTTCAACTGAAAAATCCAACCAGACACAATAAAGTAAGGAAGACAATTTTCTACTGGATAATTTAGATAAAATACATTATTATAGATATTGTATTAATGTGTGTATATATTATATTTTATTAATAATATTAAGTATATCATAAAAATTTATTGGATAAACCTTATATTAATATCACATTAATACTGTTTAAAAATATTTAAATATAAAAGGTATGTTATTTTTTATTTAGGCTCCAAAAAATACTCAGCTTCATATTTTTGGTACGTGCATGATATTTAAGGCAGTCAAATTTAATAATTAATAGTAGTTATTTATTATATCATTTTATTTATTTTATTTATGTGAATAATGATGTTGATATTTTTAAAATAAAAATTAATAATTATATATATAATTAAAAACTTCAAATATTTATTTTTAAATATTTTGAATCCTATATCTTAATAAAAAATACGCTATATAATATGAATAAACTAATATATATAAATATCATTGTGTAAAAAATAAAATTTTATGTTCTATATAATATAATTAAATAAAAAATATTTTTAATTACTATAAGCTGTTTTTCTTATAAATATAGAAAATTTTAAGTACATAGTATATAAAAATATTTGTATATTAAAGAGATAGAGAAATAATTTTTTTTTAAGTAGATCAAATAAATTAAAAAGTTAATTAAATTTATTGAAAAAGATAGAAATAATTTATTTTTTTATAATCATACATTTAAAATATAGAAATTTAATAATATCTCCATCCATTTAAGTTTATATTTACTTTTATATTTATATTTTGATACTACTTTCGTCCAACATATCGTGTTTGTTACACTGTAAACACGGAGTAGAATTAGTAGATAATTAAGGATGTATTAGTGAAAATAATTATCTTATAATATATATAATTATAAATTAAGATTAAGATAACTAATTAGTTTAATTAAAATTTAAAAAAATTTAAAAATTTAAAATGAGATTAAAGTGTGTAATCATTTTTAAAAAAAAAGAAATGGACATGGCATGTGGGACAAAAAGAGCAACTTGGACATGATATGTGAGACGGATGAAGTATTAATTATTATATCTTACAAATCAAAGAAAAAAAATAATATTTATATAAAAATATAATAAATAATATTTTTAATTTGAATACAACATCACAAAAATAAATATAATTATTAAAATAAACTGAAAAAATATGGTATTTTTTTAGTAAATTTTTTTTTAAAAATTTTACTCTTTTGACTATGTATTTTTTAGAGTGTGTTTGTTTGGGGGTTTGAATTTTGAATTGAGATTTTGAATAGTAAAAATTTTGAATTTGAATAATTATATGATGTGATATAAATAGGTGTTGATATAATATTTTGAATGTAAAATTGATTTTTAGTATAATATAAAAAATAAAAAATAAATGTTTGATTTGATATTTTTAGGAGAAAAAATAAGATGAATAGTAAATTTAAAATCCAATCTTCAAACAAAGAAATCTCACAAAAAGTTTCATTAAACATTATTTTTATATTAAATTTAAACCAATTTTTTTTCTAAACTCATCAAAATAAACACACTCAGTAATTTAAATTTATTAAGGTGTGTTTGTTTGCGGATTTGGATTTTGAGTTGGAATTTGAATAGTAAAAATTTTGAATTTGAATAATTGTATGATGTGAAATAAATAAGTGCTGATGTGATATTTTAAATGTAAAATTAATTTTTAAGTATAATATAAAAAATAAAAAAATAAGTGTTTGATTTGATATTTTCTTTTTTAAAAAATTGAATGAATAATGGATTTAAAATCAATACCCTAACAAACACACAGATAGAGTCAATACCGATAAATTCACAAAACATATACTATCATACATGAAAGTAAATACAAATTTAAACGCGTCTTGTGTGTGTATATATATTCCCCTCACAGATACTTGGCTTGCATATGACGCCAGACAATCAATCTTCGAGCAGCGACGGCGACAGCGGCAGCTGGGCGATGCATCTCTGAAGAAGAACCAATATTGGAAATTCGTGACTAGAAAGGACTATTGCTAGTTTCGTTTCAGGTTAATTTATTTCTCCGCCAGATTAATTATGGCTTTTGTGCTCTAACCCTAGTTTTTTTAATCGATGAATCATTGGTTTAATTATGGATATGCCTGGAGTTTGTGGATCTAGGGTTTTTGGCTTTATATACGATCATTTTCATGTTTACACGAGGTTTTGTGGTTGGTGTGGCGGTCTGTTTGGTGTTTGATATTGTAAAAATCGCGCCGTGAGCTTTAGATTAGGTTATTTAATCTGTTCTGTCTTGTAGGCGGTGAGGATGTCTACCCCGGCGAGAAAGCGGTTGATGAGGGATTTCAAGCGGCTGCAGCAGGATCCTCCGGCTGGGATCAGCGGGGCGCCGTATGATAATAACATTATGCTTTGGAATGCTGTTATCTTTGGGTATGTTGTTGTGAATTAATAATGGTCTCTTTGGATGCTGCTGGAAAATGCGTTTTGAACTTATTGGTTTGACTAATGTATGTGAGTTGTTTTTAAATTTGCAGTCCTGATGATACCCCTTGGGATGGAGGTGAGAAGATTCTTCTCTTGAGCTAGGATTTTGAATTAGTTAGAAATGTTTGGTTTGATGCTGCATTCATTTTAGTCTTTTTTTCTTCCTTTTTGTGACTTGCATGGGTGTCGAGCTTTGTAGAGGACTGTGAATACGAAAAATGGAATTACACTTTAGGTGTGGCCTGTTGTGATCAAGGAACCACCTGTTTCTGCTTGGTGGGCGGCGTGGGCCAGAAATGCATGCATTAATAGTTTATTCGGTTAACTACTTAAACTACGAGTTGTTGATGTAGCCGGTACTGGACTTATCTTCAAACGGGTTTATTCCTTTGGCCCAGAATATGAGTACTCGGGCATGGGCTACGTTAGCTCTAGTAGTTTGCTGAATATATTGATTAGTCGGCCTTATCGGCCCCACCATTCTGTACTAAGTGTTATCTTATTTTGCATTTAGGACTTCATATATCATTTAGAATAGATCCTTGTCTTGATTCTTGATTAAACGCCATGCCATAGTGTGTGTGTGTATAAGACGCGTACTGTAGTTATTTTACAAGCTTTTCTTTACCATCATATATTAAATCCATTGAAGGAAATTCTTCACAGAACTCCTCAAGGCCAGCATATGGTGGTATTCAGTTTTTTTCCTGTTTTTTTCCCTTGTATATCTCGTGATTTGATCGCTAGTTACATTTTCGTTTGCAGGCACGTTTAAGTTAACTCTTCAATTCACAGAGGATTACCCAAATAAGCCTCCTACAGTGCGATTTGTATCTAGAATGTTCCATCCCAACAGTAAGTTAATTTGGGTATTTATTTTTCGTCATTGAAAATTGTTGGACGGTATTTATTTTTCGTCATTGAAAATTGTTGGACTAGCATTATTTTTTGAAGCCATGATTAATGGCACGATGAGAAATGTTTTGGAACTGTAAAACTGAGAAAAAGTTTGTGTGACAATGAACCAGCATCTGCGACTGATGTACGGAGTCATAAAATTTTCTTGCAAGTTGGTTTGCACTGGTAGTTTTGCATATCCAACCTGTCCTTTTTTATGTTAATAGTTACTGTTATGATTGTTGTGAATCACAATATATATGTAAGTCTTATTGATATGCATTTTGGACTTACCATTGACTAACTTCATTCTCATTTGGCAGCTCCTATATTTCTGATTGATTATGAACACATAAGTGATTCCTTGATGTTCTAACTAACTTATTATCATCCTGATATCTAGCTACTACTAAACAGAAAAACCATCTTACTAGGTTGTACTTTTTATTTAGCAGGCTGAGGATGCCTTATTATTGTGAAGGAGTTTCTGCATACATGCTTACTTCTTTAGTGTGCTTCTCTCTGACTTCTTGTTCTGATCTGGGTTGTCAAGAATGCTTTTTCTTCTTTGTTTGCTGGGTCCTGCCTTTTCAATTCCATAACTAATTGTGGAAATGATGTATTGTGGTGGTACATATAATAACTAACTTCTCTTTTTGAGCTTTTGAAATTTTCTGTTTTGGCAAAGCAAAGAAGAAATTGTTTTCCTACTGTATCTAAAGATTAGTAGATGCAAAGGCAGTATCATAACCATATAAAATTAGTTTTCTTCTCATGGAGTAACTGCAATTTAGGAATAATTACCACTGTTGATAAACTTTGCTTTTTGGACTCATTACACCCCATCCTTTGACTCCTAAACCAGTCATTTATTTTCATAGTGTATTATATGGTTGCATTTTTATGTTGTTGCTGGTCTGACTTTATGCACATTGATCAGTTTATGCTGATGGAAGTATTTGCTTGGATATTTTACAAAATCAGTGGAGCCCGATATATGATGTTGCCGCAATACTAACATCAATCCAGGTATATTACACTATGAATAGATATCAGAATATATAGAACTCAGAAAACAGTTGGATGAAATAATAAATAAGTCACATAATTATTAAAAATTGCAGTTAATTGAAACCTTTGGCCCTCTTGAAGTTATCACCTCTGGTTATTTATATGTTATTCTTATATATATGTATGAAACAAGTAATATAGTAAGTATTGAACTAATTAATTGCAGGGAAAATTGTAATGTTGGTCTTGCAGTGGCATTACCTTTCATTTTGGTTTTCTAAGTGGATCATATATAGAAATAGTATAGTATATATCATTTGTTGTCACTTTAATAGTCATATATATGCGGACATTCATGTATGCTTATAGAAAATGAGACATGGTCAAGTACAAGATTATTAGAGCGACACTAAATGATATGCATTATAATTTTCGTATGGGATCCATTTAAAGTACCAAATTACGAGGGATGCCATTTGTTAGACCAAAACCATGATTTTCTCTTAATTTTAATATTAAAAAGAGATTAAATTTAAGAGTCATGTAAAATTTTATAAATTTTGTGAAATTAATGCAACAATAGTAGTGAGATTCTGGAAACTTGCCACATGAGGTGTTGAGTTATCACAAGGTTGGAACAGCTCGCTAGTCACCACATTATGTCGAGTTTCCTAAAATATGAAAAATGAAAAATTGTTTTTTATGTTTGAGGAAACTAAACAAACTTCTTTTTGTTAAACTTAATTTGAGGAAACTCAACAATTAATTAGTTGTATTAATTCCTGCCTCACCAGCAATTTTTGTCTACACCATTAAATTCTTTGGTAATTCTGCCTTGATACAGTGTGATGCCACTATAATTAATTAGTGGTATCTCACGGCCCCATGTGGATAGACACCTTAATTGTCATCCAAACTCATCAGCGGCATTGCTAGTTGTATTAATTTTTCAATTTCTATTTCTACAATTGTTCTGTAATTTACTGCTTTTCTCTTTATGATATTAAAATTACATTGTCAAGCATTTTGATCTTTGTGCACTGTACAACCAAGTTTGTCGATATTCTGGTAGGCTGAATACTTTATGGAAAAAGGATTACGTTGATGTAGAAATGTATGAGCTTATTGCCTGTGTAAACAAGTTCATTTATATAAAAATATTTAAACTTTGGCGGAATTAAACTGTCAAAATCATTATGATTTTCTCCAAAGTGATGATACAATACTCATAATTTCTTCCATTTTGAATTCAGTCGCTGTTGTGCGATCCAAACCCAAATTCACCAGCAAACTCAGAAGCTGCAAGGTTGTTCAGCGAGAACAAGCGTGAATACAACAGGAAAGTTCGTGAGATTGTTGAACAGAGTTGGACCGCAGACTAGCCCTGGAGCTCACAATTGATGAGCAGAATTTGCAAGATTGATTCTCCTGTAGATGGTTGTGTTTTCTCCAAAATGTTTGTTATATGAAAACAGCAAAATACAAAAAGACAAATAAAAAATTAGCGGTTCTTGCAGTTTGGACGACACTCGTAAGAATGTATGACATCTTATTTTCAGGGTCTATGAAGAGTCTTTAATTTGATGTATATATATATATTGTGTTGCTGATTTGACGTATGTCCGTAATATCCTTGCATTATAAGGTCCGATATCTATGCTTGCCTATATGTGGTATTCCATTACGTTTGGATAATCTTAATGGAAATTAATGTGCTTTCTGAATTTTTTTTTACTGCCGCCTTATGTTCTAAATATATTGTTGCTGATCTCGACCTTAGCGATGGAATATCAGGTATGTAGTTTCGCCACAAATTGTTTCAATATTGCAAGTTAGATTAAAATCATAGCTAGCTGTGATATTCTCATCATTTGTTAAAATGAGAAATAATTAGGAGTCCATTGTTTTAATTTTATTCTAAGCTCTTTTCTATAAATATCTCTGCTTGCAGGATAAGCCCCGGTGGACTTATTCAGGTATCAAACAGTTTTTTTTCTGGTTGAGCTTTTATGATTACGAACTTATTACATTTTTGAAAAATAACTGTCAGGAATTTTGCTGGAGACCGTCCAGTTTCAGGTACGTTTTTATTTGATTCTTACGAAGCTTATATTTATCCGATTCTGAAGAGCGCCATCGTGTATATGCATTTTTGAATAGCTGTGGTTTTGCATCAAAATTGCGAAGTATTTGTTTTTTTTTTTTTTTGTCTCATGTGAATTTGTGATGGTTTGCTGGATTGGATGCCGAGCTGAAGATGATCGGCACTCCCGTAGGATTAGGTAATTGTGTTTCAGAAGTTTCGGTGTGTGTTTGGGAAATAGTATATTTTTATAGGGGTTTGTGAAGTAGATAAAAAATAAAGTAGTTGCAAAGTGAAGGCAGATTAAGTTGAGATAATCTCCATTTTCTCAATAGCTCATATTCACTTTTCATATAGTTATTCATGCTATGGTTTATGTGGTTGTCAAGTAAAGCCTTTTTATTTATTTATTTTTGCATTGAATCTGTCATTATTATTATTATTTTGATAATGTGGGAATTCTTAGCACAAATTAGGCCCGGCCCGACAAGGCATCGGGGTATAAACCAAAAATCAATGACGTTACGATTACAAATTCATCATCACACCATCCGGTCATCCCCTAAGGGGACTCTCATAAAGCATAGTTCATCTTTGTGTCTATAAAAATTTATGCACGAAATTCCTATATTTGAATATTATGACATAACAGGCGTTTGTTGTGTATATATATTTGATCGGAATTGATGTATAATTTTTTTACTAATTGTGTTTGTTTGGGGGTTTGGATTTTGAATCGAGATTTGAATAGTAAAAATTTTGAATTTGAATAGTTGTATGACCTATATAAATAGGTGTTGATGTGATGTTTTGAATGTAAAATTGATTTTTAGTATAATATAAAAAATGAAAAATAGGTGTTTGATTTGATAATTTTGAGGGAAAAAATTGGATGAATAATGTAAATCCAATCCAATCTCCCTAACAAACGCACTCTAATGATGAAATTTTTAAATAGGAATGGATTTGTATCAGAATAAATACTATTATATATATATATATATGTGCATAATTTACCTTAAACCGGAAAAAAAAAATAAAAAAAATTTAAAGTGGGTTTTCATTAGATTATTCGAAATCTGAATCCATATTGATTTAGACTTAATTTTAAATTTACAATTACTAGTTCTTAACTTAAATTCAAACTATAAGTGCGCATTAGGTAAATCTTCGGCCGAATCTAATACCCTGCAAATCAGACTTGATGTGCAAATCACACTAGACGAACCATGTGTGCCAAGTGACCCGAGGCGTCGGGGGTTTGTTCAAGACCATTTACTTGTATATGTTATTGATACTATGCTATCTATCTTTGTCACTTATCTGAATAGAAAAGAATTAAATCTGGTAAAAATTGATACAATTTGACATGAGACAATTAGATTTGAAATTGAAATTGTTTGCTGGACTATAGATACAAGGTGATATGAATATGACACAATAATAAATAGATTTAATTCGACAATTTGATTATAATATATCAATATTAATTAAAATATTTATTATATATATAAAATAATTTTAATTTAATAAAATTTTCAAAAATATTAATTTAAATTAGTTCAATCCAAATATAATAGTTTTAGTAATAATTTTTAATTTTAACTTATTTTTTTTTATTGATTACTTAATTTATAAAATTTTAATTATAAAAAAATTAAATAACTTGATAACAGATTAATTTTATATTAGTCGAATTGTGTCGAGTTCGTGTCGGCCGTTGAATCATGTAATTTGTTTTAAAAAATTATTAAATTGGTTAACGGTTAATTTTTGAATTGGTTGAATTAAAATGAGTTGGGTTAGTGCCGAATCTTTTAAATACTCCCTCAGTCCCATAACAAAGTATCCATTTTTTCATTTTAGTCCGTCCCATAACAAAGTATCAATTTTCTTTTTTTTTTTACTAACTGTACTATCTGCCTAATATTACAAATACCCTTACAACTTATAATATATTACACAAATGTCATTACTTTTATATCACACATACTAATAACGTTATTTTGGTCATTTCTACTTTATTTCTACTATATCTTAATATAATATTAATATTTTTAAAACTACGTACAAAAAGCAAATGAATACTTATTTATGGGACAGAGAGAGTATAAGATATCAATTCCCGTGGAACAATTTAACTCATTTAGAAGCTCAACCCAACCCCTATTGCTGCCTCTAAAATGAATGCTATCAAAAAATACATATCACATCACATCACATCACATTTTGGACCAAAATTGAAACACAAACATAATTTGATGCTGTCTATATATATATATATGTAGATATATATTCTTATATATATATTCTTAACCATAGAAAAATTGCACAAACTCTCTCCGTCTCTATTAACCAATTTCCTTCCCCAACCTTATTTATAATAAACCAACGCTAGAAACTTATAATAATAATAATAATAATAATAATAATAAATACCCGAGCCTCAATTTTTGGAATCTTCGCCGTCGTCAGATTCAGCCCTCTCCCGCTTTGAATCAAAAGCTTCCCGGGTAGTAGTATTAATCAAGTGGTCGAGAAATCGAACGACCTCAGTCATCAGAGGCCGGTCTGCTGGCCAGCGGTTGATGCAATGTGCGGCCAGCTGGATGGTCTTCCGCATGGCCTTAATCGGGTAGCACCCCTCCAGCCGAGGGTCTACCAGCTTCTGCCTTTCCTTGTCGACTATATGTTTGCGCACCCATTCGACCAGGTACTTCCCGCCCTGTTTCCTGCTCTTGTCCATGGATTTTTGACCCGTTATTAGCTCCAGCAGGACAACACCGAAGCTGTACACGTCGCTCTTTGTCGTAAGATGTCCTGGTCAAAAACATATCTTGGAAGTAATTATCCAAAGAAGATCTTTCTGTAAGTTACAAAGAGTCATTAGTTATTATACTCTTTCCGTCCATTCATATCTGTTTATTTGTAAGATTTTACCGTAGATTTGATATTTTAATTTTTTTTTCTAAAAATATCAAATTAAATACTTAATTTTTATTTATTTTATTACACTAAAAATATAATTTTATATTCAAAATATCACATCACATCAATTTATATTTATATCATATAAAAAATTATTTCATCAAAATCTATAATCTTACAAGTAAACTTCCATCAAATCAAAAGATATATACTTTTTCTATCTCCATAATTATGTCACATTTTCTTTTCTTAGTGTCAGCTAAATTCATGCACAATGCATAAACAACTTTATCCACTCACAATTTTATTATCCCTACTTTAACAAATAATAATCAATTTGTTATACTTCTTCTGCTTAGTCCACTGCATTATTATTATTAATTTTTTAATAAATTTTTTATAATATTTTATTTTATGTTTTACCTACTCCACTTTTATTTTAAAATATTACTTTAATATGTGTTTTTAGTTCATCAATCCAAACACAAAGTATACATTTTCCTTTTAGTAAATTTGACAGCACTAAACGTTATAAATACGTTCAAACTTACACTTATTTACATCGATATCATTATCAAATTAAAGTAAAAAGTGGGAAAAAAAAAGAAAAGTCTTTACACACAAAAAGTAACACTATCCGCCCAAAAGCTTCTTTTGTTTTTAATTTTTTGAACTCAAGATTATGAAGCATTACTAAAATTTGTCAATGGAAGATGGATTTTCCTAACTTAATCTCACAGTTTGAAGATCAATAGAAGCTCAGACAATGGGGTTGAAAAATGCATAAAAGACAGCATAAATCTCATCAGAAACATAATGCAAGTGAAAGAGGCAAACCTGTCATTAGATATTCAGGGGCAGAGTAGCCTTGTACTCCTATCACTCGGGTAGAAACATGGGTTGCATCGCCCTCGGGGGCATCTTTGGCGTGTCCAAAATCAGAAAGTTTGACATTGAAATCCTGAACCAACAACAGGAAGATCAATCAATAGCATTTGTCAGCACAGGAATGTGAGTTAATGTTGAAGACTTGCATATTAATTAGGATATATATTGTCACGCCGTGTACCGAATCTAATAAAATGTTCGAAGATTTAAAATCTCTAAATATGACTGGTTTCTCAATCTCTTCGTGGAGGAATGCGAGACCCTTTGCTGAACCTAATGCAATTTTCATTCTTAGATCCCACGAAAGAGTATTCTGGTCTGCAGCACCAAGAAAACATATTGTATGTCATCATATTAATGTGCATAGCAGCAGAATATTACTGAGAAAAAAAATAAAAATAAAAATTAAAAGAAACAAGAATGATATCCAATGATGTTCCCAAAACAGATTGAGATTGTGCTCAGTGTCATACTCTTAAACAGATGATGCTCTAAGCTTCCCCGTGGCATGAATTCATAGACCAGGAGCCTTTGTTCGCCCTCGATGCTGTATCCTATTAATTTAACCAGATTTGGATGGACAAGTTGGCCAAGATAATTCACTTCTGTCTGCAAAAATGAATGATTCATCAGATATTGGAAGTAAGCATTCCAAAGAACATTTATTTCATGCTTAGTAATGTAAATAAAGATTCGGTAGTGTTGTACAAGCCATTCTTTGTGGCCTTGACGCTTGTTGTGGTTAAGAATCTTTACAGCAACCACAAGCCCTTTGCCCAATTTTGATGGCACACTGCTATTTTCACTGATCCATCCTTTGTAAACAGAGCCGAAGCCTCCTTCGCCGAGGAGACAATCCGGCCTAAAGCTCCTTGTAGCCTGCTTCAATTCATAGTAGGTGAACTTCCGGAGCTTTGGAGAGATCAGCAATTCGGTTGTGCTTATGTCGGGAGCTGATGGAATACTTTCAACATCGATTGTTGTGATTGGAACAACTGGACGCCCTTTACTCGAATCTGTTGTGGCTTTACTTACTGAAGATGCAGAGAGATCACTAAATCATTTCAAACACAACTATAAACAAAAAGGTTAACAAACACAACAGTTTCTGGCCCATAAAAACTTAATCTCAAGGTTGATTGTTGAATTGATTGCAGAAACAGTCATTAACCAGGCCATTTGACAAACATATTTAGGGAAAGTAATTATCAAATAATTTGTATATTTAAGTTACATATTAGGCTCCAAAAGTGTAACCAGTAAAAATGCAAAAATGGTTATCATCAGTGAATCCAAAATAATATACATGAACTCAAAAAACAACTGTATAAACTATTCCCCAATTTATAGACAGAAAAAAGTATTCAACAAGCACAATCTACCAAACATAACTTTCACAAATTAACAGAGTCAACAATCAAATACTCATTCAATCGCTAAGTTACAATTACTGCGCTCTAAATTAACCAGAAATCTTGCATTCAATAAGAAGAGTAATTTTACATCTACCAAATATTTCCATATGCATATACGAAAACAGAGTTCAATATGTATATTATATATATATACCATTTTCGGGATCAGAATCATTATCAGAGGTCTCATATCTGGCGTTTTTAGAGCACCTTCCAATAAATCTGAATGCAAAACAACCAGCCGCGTTAGAAGCATCTTTCCCTTCATCAAGTGCCTTTTTGGAACTGCGGACATCCTTAATATCCCCATCGATGGCTTTAGGACCTTGCGACATTTCCACAAACCCTAGCTCACTAAAATTCCCCCAAATAAACAACAAACCAGTTCTCACTGCATCAAAATTCCTCCAATTCCCTATTATCCAAACAAAATTTGCTTCGAAACTCCACCTAATCGTACAGCGCAGGAAGGTTAAACAAATTCAGCACTAAATAAGCGAACATCCAATCTTCAATTGAATAAAAAACCTCGAGCGCAGATGACAACATACACGATCGAATCCTCAAGTACGGATCATACAACAAACATGCAGTGCGAAAACAAAGCAGCAACAAATCAATGCAGAACCGTTCTTACAAAACAGAAACAAACAACACGATCCACTATATCGAGCGAGCTTGTTTGTGGAGATTTTCTGTTCTCATTTCTTCATGAACTGTTGATTGAAGTTTTGCAGAATTTATGTGTTTCTGCGTGTGCATTGAATTCAAATGGATTCTGTTTTTGTCTATATATATATATATATATATTTATGGGTATTTGACTTAATTAATATTAATTGATACTTACTACAAACACAATTCATAGTAATAGATTTATGTCTCATACTATTTATTTAGATATTTCTGACGTGTTACAGATATAGTTTGAGAATTTTTATTTTATCTTTATTGACTTACTTTGAAAAATACTTACATATTAAATAAAAATAAATATATGAATACATGAGAGTGTGTTCAATATTGTTTTGTGATATTATTAAAACTATAATATCCATCCAAGAGTTTATTTATTTAGTATTTCTTTTTTTTTTTTTTTTTTTTTTTTTTTTTTTTTACGTGGGAACCGCAGCCGCTGCCGAATGTGCGGTCGAACTTAATATCCTGCAAATTAAGCTCGACAGACCAGTCACACTAGGCGAACCATAATATTTTTTTTTTATTAGACTTTGAGGAATGACATCAATAATATAAAAGATATTACTCCATCCGTCCCAGTCGGTAGACGGTATTTTAGGAGGGTGTAACCAGTAGATAATTAAGAATGTATTAGTGAAAATAATTATCTTATAATATAAATAATTATAAATTAAGATTAAGATAACTAATTAGTTTAATTAAAATTAAAAAAAATAAAATTAGAAAATTTAAAATGAGATTAAAGTATGTAATCATTTAAAAAAAAAAAAAAAAGAAAAGTAACATGGTATGCGGGACGGACAGAAACGTCAACGTGGATATGGTATCTGGGACAGGAAGTAATATTTTGTATTAAATTCTTAATTCTCAATAAAAAAAAATAAATATATATAAACAATATATATATATATAATATAGTGATCCCTCCATCTAGGGGTCACGTGACCCTTTTAATTAGGAAGATTAAGTTATTAGTAATAAATTATAATATTATTTTATTATTTTTTAAATAAAAAAATATAAATATATATAAACAATATATGTAAAAAATATTTAATTTGATGAACAAATTCATGTACTAACCCAATATAATAGAGTGATCCCTCTGTATAGAGTCAGATGACCTTTTTTTTTTTTGTTAGGAAGATAATGTAGCTTATTAAGTTATTATTAATAAATTATGATATTATTTTATTATTTTTTCAATAGAAAAATATAAATATATAAAAACAATATATGTAAAAAAAATTGAATTGGATGAACAAATACATGTACTAAAGTGATCCCTCAATCTCGGGTAAGATGACCCTTTTTGTTAGGGAGACAGTGTAGTTTATTAAGTTATTAATAATAAATTATAATATTATTTTATTATTTTTTATATGAATAATATTTTTGGTATTTTAAATATTTTTATTATTATATCTCAATAAAATATATACAATATAATTATTTGTTTTTTTTTTTTTTTATCATTTTAGTCTACATATAGATAAAAATATTTGTTTTTTAAGAAGAGAGAAACAATGAGGTTAAATTTACTAAAAATATAAATTGTCATCTTTTATGGGACAGACCAAAAAGAAAAATGAGTCATCGGCATGAAAGCTCTGAAAATAGAATACCTGACGATAAAAGATCCACTTGAATTGTAGGCAAATTTGAAAGATCGATTTGATCACCTGAAATCGGTCATCCTGCCAAAGGCGAAACATGCATGACAATATTTGTACCCGCAAGTTTTTAAAACCAATGTTGATTATAACTCCATGGTGCTTAAAATGATGTCACAACTAAAATTTTATAGAGAAAACATTACTGATAGAAATATATTGGAAAAGACATTCACCTGTTTCATGACTCTAATATAGTTCTGCAACAATAATATCGAAAGATGAGTTTTACTAAATATTGTGGTCTTATTAATTCTATTATGTTGTTGAACAGAATAATGAATTATTATTGAAAAATCATGAGTCAAGGCCAACCGGTGCAAATTCATTCCCTGAAGTGAATGCGACTCAATATTTGAATAATGGGTCTAAATATAACTGCGGAAGAGGTTGCGAACGAGGTTATCGAGGTGAAATTATCAGTGGACGTGAAATGAATTATGGACGTGGACGTGAAACTAACCATGGACGTGGTCGAGCCAAGTTTATTCCTTACTGTTTCCGTGATGATTATTTTGACGAACATAAACTAAAAAGGCCCTTGGAGCGGCCTCATGATGATATTGGCTAAAGTTCAAGAAAAAACTGAGGATAAATGTCATTATTGTGAGATGACAAAATATTAGTTCCGAACTTGCCGCTCATATTTAGTGAGTTATATCATGATTCTTTGAAGGAAAGAAGTAAGACACCCGAAAATATCAAAATCCCAAAAATTAACTTTTAAAAAAATGATGTTAGTTGTAGTGAAGATTGCGGTGATAAGGGCATCTCCAATAGGGCTGATTTTTTTACCCAAATAAATGGAGTTCATGTCCTCCAATCCTGCACCAATCTTAACATAAAAAATGGCCATAAAATGGCGCAATGTGTTTTCTTTTTTAAAAAAAAATTAATAATTTTTTTTTTCAAAGATAATAGTAATTATAAATATAAAAAGTGTTTTAAAATAATATATAAAATGAAATATTTGAATAATACTATTTTTGAAGTAAAAAATAAAGTTATAAATTGTAATAAAAATACTATAACAATTGCATTTTTTGAGTTAAAACTGTCGTAGGTTGGAGATGGTCTAATGCAAATATAGATATGTCTGAATTTTTTGTGCACCCGGAAGGTGCATACTTTGATAACCTAATAGTACATAATTTGAATACCCTAAGGGCTGTTTAGTTCATGGACTTTTTTGGTGGGATTGAGATTTCACAGTAGGATTTATATGTGATGGGATTTATTATATTTAGGATTTGGAATCTCATATTATGTTTGGTTAGTAAAATGCGGTGGGATTTATATTTAGGATTTGGAATCTCATATTATGTTTGGTTAGTAAAATGTGGTGGAATTTATATTTCGCGGATTTGGATTTTTTATATTCTAAATGACATAATTGTCCTCTTATGAATTTTATTTATTTTGACAAATTAAACCTCTAATTCACTATTAATATAAATTGAAAATATATTAATAATTTTATAGGATGACAATAGATTCGCGTAAACTCAAGACCCGACCGAGCCCGACCTATTTATTTGAAGTTGAGTTCAATTATTTGAGTATTAGGCCTGTATCCGGATCATGATCAGGGTAATATAATAATATATCAACCAAACATATCAAAAAATAATTTCGAATAATATAATTATATTAAAAATATTTTTTGAGTTTAACGTATTCATTATTTTATTATAATATTTTTCTAATAAAATACAAAAATTTTAATATACATTGGATCCGGTACATGTGTAATTTTAAATTAAAATTTAAGAATTGTAAAAAAAGTGGATTTTTTCGAATCCATCAAGTCTTACCGGATATAGTCTCGGTCGGATTTGGTATAATAGGATCCAATTTGAATCTCGGATTTAACAATATATATTTGGGATGAATATCAGTTCCGACTGAACCCGACTTATGGTTGTTCCTATAATTTTATAATTCAAATAAAATTTATAATAAATAATAATTTAAACAATGAATTTATTAATTTATTTAAAAAATATCGTACAATAAAAAATAATATAAATTTAATTAAGTATATAATTCAAATAATAATTAATGTTAAAATTATTTAATTTTTTATATAAATATAATACTATTATTTTTTTTATAAGAGGATATAAATGTAAAAATTAAAATTTCAAAAATGAGATTTAAAAGTAACAGGGGTATCCCATTACAAAAAAATCCCTTATTTGTAGGATTTTAGACCCATTTTTTAAATCCCATCATTTTAAATTCTACTTTCTTTATCTTAACCAAACATGATTTCATAGGATTTTAAAATCCAAATCCCATGAAATCCCATCAAATCCTTGAACCAAACAGCCCATAGTAGTATAATGTAATAGCATATATGTATATATATTTTAGTACCCCTGATCTTTATTATTTTTTACCTCTATATTTTGTAATAATGTATCATATATGTATTTTGTTCGATTTTCTAATATATGACAGAGTGTTTGTCTTTTCTCGTTTGTTTCTTTGTTCATCATAGACAATAACATAGTTTGGCTTCTTGATCGGTTTGGTCGTTGCATAAGAAATTTTTCTAGTATTAGAGTCGACGTAGATTTGCTTGTTCAAATGATGTTTATCCTAATTCGCTGCTCAGAAGGAGTAGACATATATAATTTTTTTTTTCACTGTTCATACCTGCCCTAAATCCTAGAATTGGATTTTAGATACACTTCTAATACTACTATTCACTCTTATAACCAACTTCATAGAATCATTTCTATTTGATAAAAGTTTGTTGGATTCCTTATTGATTTGTGCAAAATCGATAACTCATTTACGATATAGGAAAGTATTTGAAGTTTTGAAATTATGAATTTTATATGATTTTTCTTCTAAATCAATTTTTGTTTTGTTTAAAAAAAAGAAAAAAAAAACTTAAATTTTTTTTTTTTATTGTTATTAATTAATTAAGATGGTTCGATGATAAACTATAGTTGAATCTTTTATTTATTGTGCTCTACATAATTTATAAATTAAATTGTATTGACAGTGACGGAAATTTACCCAACCCTCAAGCGATGAATGTCTTACCGCGTGATCTACAAATGTTTGACAAGTGTTATTTTTAAAGTGCTGGGCATTTGTCTATTATCATTTGTTGGCATGTCAACATTCCATCATTTTTTTTTGCCAATTAT